GCAACAGCCGGAGCTGAGTCAATCCGAAGCCAGGAACCAGGAGTCTCTTCCGGGTCTCCCATGCAGCTGCAGGGTCCCAAGGCTTTGGGCTGTCATTGACTGCTTTCCCAGGCCACAGGCAGGAAGTGGGATGGGAAGTGGGGCTGCCGCTAGAATTAGAATTGATGCCCATATGGGATCCTGGTGCGTGTAAGATGAGGACTTTAGCCACTAGGCTACTGCGCAAGGCCCAGTCTTAGCACTTCTTACAGGGGGTGAGGGGAGCTTTGCCCCAGGTGTTTCCATAAATTTTTGGAAACATGCAGTGGCTCATGGAGCAGGCCAGAGGTAGGACTGGCAGCAGCTTCAGGTCAGTGCTGGACACTGCCGACTTCGGCTGCTTTGGGAGGGCGGTTTCCCGAGCTCAGGGCGCATGTGTGTGACGCAACCACGGCGAGCCACAGGCGATGGCAACCTGAAGTCAGTTTCTGCCTCTCCTACTGCTTCCGCATTGCCAGTCTCGCTGTGGGCATGGCAGGTGTGCAAGCTGACCGGGGTGGCAGGTGAGGTTGCAGAGTGGGTGAGGGGAGATGCGGGGAGAAGGAACCATGTGAGCAACCGCGCAGCTGCACTGCAGGCCCAGCGCACCCCGGCCTTCAGCCTGGCACCCAGGATGCAAAGATGACGAGGACGTGGTTGTCCTTGCATCAAGGGAGCTCAAAACCGGAAGGGCAAACCCGGAACCCCGTTACAGGCTTTGGCTTGTCTTCTGCCTCCACCCACTGGTTCACTCCCCAAGTGCCTGAGGCGGCCAGAGCTGAGCTCCTCTGCAGCCAGGAGCCAGGAGCTTCTTCCAGGTCTCCCACGTAGATGAAGGATGTCAAGGCCTTGGGTCATCCTCTGCTGCTTTCCCAGGTGATAAACAGGGAGCGGGATGGAAAATGGAGTAGCTGGGACACGAACTGGCACTCATATGGGCTGCCCATGCTGCAGAGAACTAGCCTGTAGGTCTCCCTGGTCATCTGGCTTTTGGCACCTGGTGGAATCAAACTTCTTCCTCTGCCTGAATGGGGCACACGGCCAGTTCTGGCCCGGAGGCTGTCTTAGGAGTGAGTTGAGGCCGGTGCTTCCATGAGCTGCACACCATGGTGCACAGGTGGCGTGGGTCAGAAGCCCGGCCTCTGTCGTCTGCCATTGGGATCTACGGACCGTCTGTTGTGACATAACCTCTCCTGGCCCACACAGTTCCCTTTAAGGAAGCTCTCCAGAGAATCACTCCTTTTAGGGGCTTGTCGGCGACAGAGCCAGACTGGCAGATTCTGAACATGTGCCATTCGTCTGCGAGACCACCGCCATGTTCCTGAACTTGACTGGAGGTCTCTGTCCTCCAAGGCCACTTCCAGGCTTGTCCATCTTGGGTGGGAACAAATAGGACGCTTGGATGGAAGAGGGTCATTGTCACTCTAGACCACTAGAGGGCAGTCGAACCAAGTCTTGTAGTAATGGGCAGGCAGTGTGCTTGAGTCTGCAGGAGAGAGCAGGTGCAGGCAGGTGGGCAGGAAGGAGGGCCTTGCTCTGGTGCCTGGCAGGAAGCAAGACTGTCAGCTGCGAGACACCAGTGAGGTCCTGGTTCCTTCTGGGCGGTTGCTGAGGCCGAGGAGGGTGAGGGAGCAGGCAGAGGCTGCTCAGTGAGCTGTTAGCTTAAGCAGGCAGAGACCCAAGGGTTTCCGGCTTGAGTTCAGGACCCCACATCTCACAGGGACAGTGTCACACAGTGGCCATGGGCTCAGCAACGTCCAGTCTGTGTAGGGACGATCACAGTCCCGTCTCCTCCCGCCAAGTCACCCTGGAGCTGGGGTGGGGGTGGGGGGCTTCTGCCATAGGAAAGGAGGGAGGAGCTCCAGACAACTGCCCCACCCCACCTGTGGGGACTTTCAGCAGTTGCCGTGGTAACCAGAACACAGCTGAGTTCAGAAACGTAAAGCTGGGAAGAGGGGGAGAATGGTTAGGAGGTGGGGGAGACCCAGGCCCTCATTCGTTTCACTCACTCACTCATCCAATGTCTTAGAAATATCGAGGCTGGCTCAGGGACTAAATCCTCACCTTGCACGCCCCAGGATCCCATATGGTTGCCAGTTCGTGTCCTGGCTGCTCCACTTCCCATCCAGCTCCCTGCTTGTGACCTGGAAAAGCAGTGGACGATGGCCCAAAGCCTTGGGACCCTGCACCCACATGGGAGACCAGGAAGAGGCTCCTGACTCTTAGCTTTAGATTGGTTTAGCTCCGGCCTTTGTGACCATTTAAGGAGTGAATCAATGGACAGGAGATCTTTCTCTCTGTAAATCTACTTTTCCAATAAAAATAAATAACAAATCTTAAGCAAAAATTAGGACTAGAATGTCCTATTAAAGAAATACTTCTCAGAGTAGTCCTGTCCAGGAGAGTAGCTGTAAGTGAAGATGCAAAAAGAGAAAAAGTCCAGCGCTTCGGTCGCTTGGCGGTCATGTGTCCAGTGCCCTGCAGGTGGCTGTGGCTGCTATAGTGGGCCCACGTATTAGAACATTTCCATTATCGCCGAAAGTTCTATTGGGCAGCACGGCTCCGAATGCTCACTCACCGCCGAGCGACACCCAGGGAAACAGACAGATGCCACGCGATGCCCTCATCAGCAAAAAGCAGGTGACAGGGCAAAGCTAAAAGCAGATGCCCCACGGAGGCTTAGCCTGGCTCCAGGCTCTGGGTGTGTTCCCAAGGCGAGCGGGGCTGTGACGACTGGCTCACACGGCTGTCTTCCCAATGACCAGCACACAGTAAGTGACCAGTAAGTGGTGGCTGGTGTCGCCACTGCCACTGGTAAGACCGTTGCTGGGACAGAGGCTCTTGGGGCTGGGGGACACAGCTAGGATCTCTGTCCCAGGCCAAGGGCTGGGGTCTGCCCGGAGCATTGCCAGGGCAAGGCTGGATGTGGGTCCCTTCGAGGACAGCCCTGGCTTGGGTCAGCGCAGTGTCCAGCTGCAGTGAGCTGGGGCCCAGGACAGGACTGTTCAAGTGAACAGGCCCGTTCTAGGAACATCTGGCTGGGCCAGAAGGCCTGGACTCACAATAGGGCATGGGAGCTTTGAGGGGAGGTACGGGGTAAGACTGGTCCTGGGACCCTCCGAGGGATTCTTTGCATGGAAAGCCCTGATTCTTACTGGAGGTTTTTCCCAGGGTCGCTTTTGGAGAGACGGGGTGAGCAGGCAGCTGGGTGCCCCTCCTGCAGTGGCCCTGACCAGGGCGGTTCTGCCTGGTCCTTCTCGGCCTCCTGGGGCTCTTGGGATTCCAGAGACTCAGAGCAGCCTTTCATTGCCGCCCACTCCCTGTGGGCCAGTCCCTCCCGGCCTTGGAGCCTGGCCTCGCCCTGTTGCTGGCTGGGATGGAGCCAGTGGGATGGGTCAGGAGAACGGCTGGACCCTGCGTCCAAGGACCGTGGTCTGGGGGTCAGCTGGGAGCCCAGGAGGAGACCTGAGTGGTTCAGGCCCCGAGTCTGTTGCCATGGTCAGATTCAGGGTGCAGAGGAGGTGAGGAGCCTGGATTTGGCCATCTTCCCAGGCCCTGGACTGAGGGCTGAAGCCCCAAGGGACCTTACTATTCTCGGACCAAGGTAAGTGGTGCCCAGGTGTGTGTCCAGGCGTTTGTGGCTTTAGGGCTGCCTAGGGGTGTGCTGAGCAGGGAGAGAACAGAGGCCTAAAGGATCTTGGGTACAGATCCTTGGTGGAGAGAGCTGGGTGGGCAGGCATGTGCCACTGGGAGGGGAGATGAAGACACCCCTCCCCCATTTTCACCTCCTTTTTCCTGCTGCACAACAGCCTTTGGGACTCACTCCCTCCCTGCCACCAGCCTGACATGCAGAACTAGCCCCTCCTCGCAGATCTGGCCCAGTCCCTCAGGCAGCACATGCCTGCTGCGCCCAGGGCAAGGAAACAACTCCACTGCAGAGTATGGAATTGAGTCCACAGTGGGCACCAGCTGGCCATCTGGGGCCTCCCTCAAGCCCAGACACAGCTGAGGAGCCCCACCCTGGATTCTCAGCAAAGGCTCATCATCTCCGGAGTGGCCTCCTTCCTTAGACACGGGGCCCTGACCTGGGGCTCACCCCAAGGCCCTCCTTGCCTACCCTGGCACCTGAGCTGGCGCTCACCCCAAGGCCCTCCTTGCCCATCCTGGCACCTGAGCTGGCACTCACCCCAAGGCCCTCCTTGCCCACCCTGGCACCTGAGCTGGCGCTCACCCCAAGGCCCTCCTTGCCCACCCTGGCACCTGAGCTGGCGCTCACCCCAAGGCCCTCCTTGCCCACCCTGGCACCTGAGCTGGTGCTCACCCCAAGGCCCACCTTGCCCACCCCTGGCACCTGAGGGCAGCGACCGAGACTGCTCCCGTTTCTTTCCCTCTCTGGACCTGTCTTCTCCAGGGCTCTCTGTGGCTTGGATTTGCAGCCCCGGCCCAGCCCACAGCTCCTTCTTCATTCAGGGCAGGAACCCAGAATCAGACTCTGCTCTCAGGTCAAGGTAGCCATCCCTCAGCTTCTGACCTGATGCCTGAAGCCCCGAGGTTTCTGGATGCTTCTGGAAGAGAGGCAGATCAGTGCCCAGTAGTCCCTGCCACCCTCTGGGCTCCCTGACGGTGGAGAGGGGCCGCACTCAGGCCCAGAGGCAGAGAGGTGAACCCCGGCCCCGACACGGCTCATGTGAGAGGGAGCGGCCCCGTGGCCTGTGGCCCCTTGGGTGGCAGCCGGATGCTGCTGTTCTGTGTGGGGTGCATACGGGGCTGTAGCACGGAGGAACTATAGGAAGATAAGAAAGCACTCAGAATCTTGGAGAAAGTGGAATGAAAAATGAGTTTGTTTGGGTGCCAGACAATTTTGCAACCCACGCATGGTTTTGTGTGGCCTGCTGTGGTTAAGAGGGTGAGGGCTGTGCCTTCTAGGCCCCAGTGCCTCACCCCATCCTGGCCTTCCTCCCAGGGCAAGATCAGCAGCCTGCATGGATCGCAGCTTCGCTCCCACTCCTCCCGAGACACAGCCACAGGGAGCCGCCTTCTCCCACAGCCACGTGCTGGGGCACCCTGCCCGCTCCTCCAGGCTCTCCGGGGGTGTTTCCCCGCTCCTTCCAGTCCACAGGAAGACCATCCATCTGGACGCCTTTCCCAAAAGCCACATCCCCCAGACCTCTGGCCGCCCCGGCCCCGCAGTCAGGGCCTGGAGCATGCCACTGCAGGAGACTTGCAGTGTGCCAACGACCTCCACCCTGACTGCCAACAGCGTCGCGCCCAGGAAGCTGAGCTCCATTTCCCTGAAGATCTCTCAGAGCAGTCACTCCAGCCCCCTCCTTTCTCACTGCGAGGAGTTGCCCACCCTGGGCAAGGAGGCTGCCACGCAGGCGGGAGGCAGGTTGTTGGCTCTGGCCGACTCACCACCTGTGAATCTGCCGTCAGGGGGCGCAGTGCACTCGGAGGGGCCTGGGAACCCAGAGCTGGTCAAGCCCAGCAGGATGCCCACTGTGCCCAGCAGGATGCCCGCTGTGAGAAAGCCACTAGTGTGCTCCTGCCTGGCCTTGCCTTTCCAGAGCCAGTTGACCCAAAGTTCGCCAGGCTTTGTCGGGCTGGGCCGGGAGGGGCCGGGGCACACCAGGACTTCCCCGGGGAGAGGGAAATCCCGCTCCAGGGGTCTCCCCAGACCACAGAGAGGTGCCCAAAGGGCCAATGCTGTGATGAGCTTGTCTTCCCAGGACACAACCAAGGCAGATGTATCCAGACAGTTAGCGGCCATGGGCAGAACCAGGCCTACCTTGAGCATCAGCTTGGCTGCCCAAAACACATCCAGACGGGACACAGGCACGGAGTTCCCTGCTCTGGATACCACTTTGGGCAAAGCCATGAACTTGGCCTCAGCGGGTAAAGCCAAGTCAGGCATCGGCCTGAATCTGATCACAGTACAGACCACCAAGCCGAGCAAGATCGTGGACTTGAGGATGGCAGCCCCAGACAAGCTGGGCAGAGGCATGGCAACCGCAGCCACGGCCAAGCCAGACCTGGCCACAAGGGACATATCCGTGGATTTGGACACACCAGATCTAAACAAGCTGGCACCAAGCACAGCGATGGGGGATATAGCCAGGTTGGGGACACCTATGGCTTTGGCCAGAGCAAATACAGCCAAGGTGGACCTAGCTCGAGAATCCCCCACTTGGAACACAAGCAAGCACAGCCCAGCCATGAGCTCTGTCGTCCCGGGGTCCCCAGAGCCAGCCTGCGGGGACACCACACTGGATGATGCTGATCACCTGTCCCCATGGGACATGGCTACCTGCCCACCAACAGCAAGAAGCAGCATGACCCCGGAACATGGCACAGTGGCATTTGCCACACAGGAACTGGCCAGAGCATACAAAGGTAACAGAAGGGTTGGCTGGGGAGGACTGGGCAGCAGGGTGGGGTGGTGGTGGGAGGTGGGCAAGCCTCAGGATGGTTGTGCTTGCCTAGGAGAGGAGAATGTTAAAGGCAGAGATGAGTGCGTAGGGAGGAAGGGGCTCTCCGCCGGACAGTTCATGGGAGTCGCTCGTGGGTCCTCAGGTTTGGTAGCATTTTCCATGATGGTTTCTTGGCTGTCTGCATTGCTGGCATTGTGCAGCAATCCCCAGGCGAGCCCTGCTTTAAAAGTAGGCCTCCTTCATATGACAGCCCAGAGCTTCCGTATGTGGTCATGAGCCCAGCAGTGGCGGTCACTGTGGCATCTCTGCATGCGTGGGAATGACCTTGTCCGACAGTAGAATTCCTTCATATTCAGCCATTTAGGAAAGTACTGGGGTCTAGAAGGGACCTCATGTGGAAGTCTCTTGCTGGACCCCCAGCCCTGGCTCTTGACCACTGGGAGGTATCGGAGATCTGTCCACTAGGAGTCGTGGCAGAGCATTCGCAGTGGTCCTGGGCCGGATGTGCCCTGGGCCTTGGGAGCCTCCGCCCAAGCTGGTGTGAGCGGGGTCCTTCCCCGAGGCGAAAGCTCTGAGAGTTAGAGCCCTCCTCATCCCGCGTGGCACGCTCCACGCAGGGACCTTGTCTGGGGCCTCAGCTCTCCCTGCGCCCTCAGCCCAGCCGCTGCCTCCTGCCCACAGAGTGGGCAGCTGGTGGTCTGAAGGACTTGCTGCCTAGACATTCCTGGACATGACCTCGCTGAGCCACAGGTACTGCCCCCTCCTGTGCCCTAACGTGGAGCTTGGCACCTCCCCATCCTCTTCTTTCTCTCTCCTCCATCCCACCCAGCCTCTGGTCAATGTTGATATTTGCTCCTCAGTCCTTGGCCACCAGGCTCGCCATCTCTGGACTCCTGAGAGGTCACCACCCCTCTACCCCGGCTCTTCCCACCACTCTGCTGCCTCGGAGCCCTGGGCAACGGTTGGCCGTTAGTTGGGGAACCTGGCTTCCGAGTCTGGGGCTTTTCCAGCCCCTTAGCCCTTTGTCCCCATCTGGAACTTGCTTTGCTTTAACTACCTCATGGGGGGCTCTGGCTTGTCCACTGGCACCACCACACAGCTGCCACCTTGCCATCCTCACTGCCACTGCCCCATCCATCTCCCAAGATGTCTGTCCAACTCCTCCCACCGCCATTTGCATATCTTGTCCGTGGATCTCCTCCCAGAAGTCTTCCAGGATGCCCACCTGTGAGCACCTACCTTACCTGTGCAAACTCCATGCCCCTAATGCAGACACGGTTCATTTTGTTTCTCCCATTAAGTCCTCGCCCCTGCACACCTGGGGCTTGGCAGCGCATCCAGGAACCGTGCCCGGAGGCACGAAAGCTTTCTCTAATGGTTGGAGGGAGAAGCTCCCGGCCAGCCCAAGGTTACAGGGGTTTATCCTTCGGTCTAACTCAGGGCCTGACAAGCACCCCCGCGGCATCCAGCCACCGCGTGACTCTGCGCGCACACGGCTGCGCGCTGTCACCGGCCCTTTGTGCTCCCTTCAGCGCCCCTCGCACTGCCCAGCCGCGAAGGCGAGGGGCCAGGAGCGGGCACCTTCTCTGGCTGGGCGCCGCGGGAAGGGGAGGGGCCCTCGGCGGGGCTGACGGGCGCGCGGGTCACGTGGTGAGGGTGGCAGCGGCGGCGGCATCGGTGCGCACGGGCAGGAGCGGCGCGGCGCGGCGCCGAGGGAGCCAGCGAGGTCCGGGGGCGGTGCGGCGGCCCAGGGCGCAGGGGCAGCGGGGCCGGGCGGGTGGGCGGAGAGCGCGGAGGGGCGAGGCCCGGCTGCAAGGGGCCGCTCGGCCCAGGGGAAGCCCGCGCCCCGCGCAGCCTCGTAGCCCCGCGCCCTGAGCATCTCCCGCGAGGAGCTGAGACAAAGGAGGATTCATGTCCAAAGGTAGGGTGGCCACCGCGGCTGGAGTGCCACGGGGGGCGTGGGAGGGGCGAGGCTGGCTGCGCCTAGAGAAGCCCACGCACGGTGACAGATGCGCGGACACACGCACACACCCCGAGAATGACAGTCTCCAGACAGGCACCCGCGGGGCGATGCGGAGACCCATGGACACGCTAGTGGGCATCCACATACGCCCAGAAAACCCCCACGCGGGGAGCTCAAGACCCACAGCACAGACAGTCTAGGCACAGGTACCGCCAGCCAGCCCAGTGCGGTGACACGGGGATCCCCTCCCCCACCGGCTTCCACTGACACCAGCTGGTGGTCTCCAAGGAAACCCCTGGGCCTCCTGAGGACTGCAATGGGAGGAAGAGGGGTGGGTCCCAGGGTCCTGTGCCTCCGTGAAGGAGGGAGAACGGGCCAGGCTCTCGGGTGATTCCTTTCAGAATCCAGGGCTGAATCCCTGGGTGGGCTGTGATTGCCCTTAGGAGTGGGGGTGGGGCTTTGAAGGATGCTGAGGGTGGGTTGGGGGCTGGGGCCTGGGGAAGACCCCCAGCTGCGCTCAGGGGAAGACCCTCAGCTGGCAGAGGAGGCAGATGCTGTTGTCCAGGGGTCCTCTTTCTACTGCTACCTTTGCAGCAGAGAGGTGGGGTCCCCTGGCCAGACAAAGACACAACCTGTCACATGCCTGTAGAAGGAGGCTCCGCTCCTTGCCTGGCCTGGGAAAGGAACCGAGTCCCACTGCCAACTCAATGGAGCCCTGGCGGAGCAGGTGGCTCCTGGCAGGGGATGCGGCAGGCAGATCCCTTCCTCTCCAGGGCCTCGGGGGTGGCCGGGAGCTTAGGAGGGGCCTTGAGGACCAGCTCTTGCCCAGCTCACAGCTCCAGCTGGGGCCCCAGCTGAGCTGTCCTGTCTTCTCCCAACGCTGGTTGCTGAGGAAGCCAGAGGTGGCTCACTCCTAACAGGTCCAGCTGGCTTGACCTCAGCTCACACCAGCGAGGCGTCAGCTGGGCTGCACAGGGAACCGTGTCTGAGGCAAGGGAAAGAACCTTCCATCCATTCATCCATCATTTGTTCCCTCAGGCTGAGTGCCTTGTGGGGTGCACAGTGCTGGGGGAGCCGGGGCGCCTGCCGTGGGAACCACCACGTGCTTGGGGTCAGGTCATTTTCCCCTCACAGTTCTGTAATCTTCACAGCTCTCTCCCCGTTTTTCCAAGGAGTTGCCCAGGCGGTCTTACAGGACCCCCTTACAGGGGTCACCCAGGCGGGATTTGAATCTGGGTCAGCTGCCGGGCTGAGCATGGCCTGCTGGGTCCCTAGGAGCCATTGGTGAAGTTCCAGAGCCTGGTTCCAGAACAGCCTCGTCTGTGGTCTGGAGGCCTCGGGGCGCTGGGTGGGCACCCTCACTGGACAGGGCCTCTGTGGGCACAGCAGTATCTGACAGATGGCTGAGGACTTGGCTAGAGCAGGTCCTCAGTGGACATGCTGTGAGGTGGCCCCAAGGGGATGGAATGGATGGATGATTGAATGGATATGGCGAGGACAGGACTCAGCCACGGGGGCGCTGAGGCTGCGTGGAAGTGGAGCGTGTCAGACAGGAAAGCAGAAAGTAAGAGTTGGCCAGGGACTGGAGGGGGCCCAGGGTCTGCCAGCGGGACGTGTTGTGGTGTGGTGAGTTTACTTACCGGTGGCTGGCCAGAGGGTGACCGTTACTAGTGGCAGGTAACCGCCGACTTGCGGGCAGGTGCACTTTACAGGGCACGGTGAGTGCTGTTGGAGGAGACTTCAAAGGCTGCCTTCTGCCTGGGCCTGTGATCGGGCCTCGTGTCAGCCCTGGGAGTGACCTGGGCATCCTTAGGCCACCCCGTGCACTGGGGGATCTGTTTCGGGATTCTGTGGTTGACAGGCCAGAGTGAGCCCTCTCCCCCCACCAACAGTACCAGACTCCCCTTTCCAGCTCTATAGAGCCAGGTAGGGGGGATAGCATCTCCCTTGCTTCCTAGGTGGGCTTGGCTGTGGAGCCGCAGTGGGCATCGGGAGGGGCCAGCCTGTGAGTGAGCAGAGATGGAGCAGCTGCACCCCCGCCCCCGCCATGCAGGTGTGCTGTGCGGGAGCCGTAGATCACATGCAGGAGTAGAGGAGCTGGGGCAGGCTGCTGAGGGTCAGCTGCTGCTGAGCTGAGCCAATCTGGCCGCCGCCTGGAGCCGCCTGGCTGGCAACAGCTTCCTGGGAGGCAGGAGGGAGGTCCCAGTGCTTTGTCCGATTTGGCTGTGCCAGCGTGAGATGGGGGAGAGGATGGAGAGACAGATCTCGCCAGTGTCGGCTGAAGGAGCAGGTGGTACGGGGAGGGAGGGCATGCTGTCCCCTCTGCCCATCTGCTGCTTCATCCTGTAAAGCTGGGGCTCTGCAGGGTGGTGACTGCGAGCCCTCGGACTCTAGAATGGCAAGGCTGGGAGTCCGGGGAGTCCACGGCGCCCGCATACACACTGCTCCATTCCCCCTCCAGGCAAGTCCCTGGGCCCGGGAGGGGCAGGAACAAGAGGGCTGGGGACTCAGGGGTTTGTAGCCTCAACTCCTGTTGTACACAGGAGGCTGTGTGGTGGTGGGGAGGGGGGCTTGGGCACAGGCAGGTGGACCACAAAGTGGGCAAGTAGCAGAGTCAGGCTCTTTTTTTTTTTTCTTTTCTTTTTCTCTTCTTTCCTTTTTTGAGAGAGAAGCAAGTAGAGAGTGCTGTAATTTACCAGTTTTTTCCTCAAACGCCTGGCGTGACGCGGGCAGAACTGGAACCTTGCTGCAGGTCTCTGAGATGTGTGGCAGGAGCTCAGCCATGGGAACCCTCACCCGCTGCCTCTTAGTCTCTGCGTTAGCAGGAAGCTAGGATGGGGAGCTGGGATGGGCATGGAATCTAGGCATTCCGCTAGAGGATGTAGGCATCTTGACTGCCAGCCCAGACAGCTGGCCAGGCTCCGTCGTCTATACCTCGTTTTGTGGCTGTGCAAGTGGAGTGATATGTCCTGGTGGGCTGTGTGTGGTCCCTTCCAGTCCTGACTGTGTGATTCTGCAAAATGTGGCTACCCCGTGACCTCTGCTCTCCCCCCACATCTCCCCTCAACCCTGGTTTCACAGGGCTCCCCGAGACCAGGACGGACGCAGCCATGTCAGAGCTGGTGCCCGAGCCCAGGCCTAAGCCGGCAGTGCCCATGAAGCCTGTCAGCATCAACTCCAACCTGCTGGGTTACATCGGCATCGACTCCATCATCGAGCAGATGCGCAAGAAGACCATGAAGACCGGTTTTGACTTCAACATCATGGTCGTGGGTACGGGAGGCCAGGGGGTCGCTGGCGGGCCTGACACCGGGGGGGATACAGGATCCCATTTCCTTTTACCCTGACTTCCAGAGGATGAGGTCTTTGCAGGGAGGTGCATCTTTGAAAGTCAGAGTTACATTGAGAGAGGGATAGACAGGGAGAGGGAGCTCTTCCATCCACTGGTTCACTCCCCAAATGGCTGTAATGGCCAGAGCTGGAGGGTCTCCTCACGTGGGTACAGGGGCCCAAGCACTTCAGTCCTCCTCTGCGGCTTACCCAGACCATAAGCAGGAAGCTGGATCAAAAGTGAAGCAGCCAGAACTTGAAGTGGTACCCATATGGGATGCTGTGGGCAGTGGCTTGCTGTGCCACTGCGCTGACCCCACAGAAGGAGGCTGCCCCCGGCCCTTGGGGCTGGCTCAGACAGGTGGGGAGCTTTGGGAGGTTGGTCTGCCAGGGTCCATTTCCAGCTGGGTGTCCGCAGGCAGCCCCTTGCCTCTCTGAACCTGCTGCCAGGTTTGGAACCTGCGAGGATGACAAGGGTCCTCTCTTACTCCAGGAGCTGGTGGGAGGACTGGCTGAGGATGATCTGGTTTCTGATTTTTGTAGCACTTTACGGCTTTGAGAATATCCAAGGATTTGGTCCTGAGTCACACCACCAGCTTAGGAAGGGGCCTTTTCCCAGCGGATGTTCAGCTTTCAAGTTCTGCCAACGTCTGAGTCCATCTCCTCCCCCGGCCCCTTCCCTCCTGCCTCAGCATCTCCCTACACTGAGTCAGGTCTTGCACCTGTTTTGCCACGGTCTCCTGACTTGCCGTTGACCACTCTGAGATAAGGAGCTAGGACTGCAGTGTAAATCACTCAGAATGTCTTGGAACAGAAAATGCTGGCTGGTCTAAACTTTGGGCTCCATGACATAGTCAGTTTACCACCAGGACAAACGTATCACAAGGCTAATAGCGAATGGTTTTTGGACCTGGCAGTGGGCCAAGGGCCACACTTGAAGTGGCACCAACTGCCCTCCTCCTTCTTTGTCTCCTTTCTCCTCTTGTCCATTGTCCATCAATGAGCGCATTGGAAAACTCAAGTCACCCACCCTGTTCACAGTCTACCAATAACTCTCTTAGGATAAGGTCAGACTCCTTGTGTGATATGGGTCTTCCTTTCCTACCCATCTCCCTTTTTACTTTTTAATGTTTTTAAAATAATTTTTATTTGAAAGCTATGCAGAAAGAGAGACAGCAAAAATATCTTCCATTTGCCACTTCTCTCCAAATGGCTGCAGTGGCTGGAGCTGGACAAGGCAGAGGCCAAGAGCCAGGAGCTTCAGTTAGGTCTCCCACGTGGGTGCAGGGGCCCAAGCACTTGGGCCATTTGCAGCTGCTTGCCCAGGCACATTAGCAGGAAGCTCGATTGGAAGTGGAGTAGCTGGAACACAAACATTCGTATGGGATGCCAGTGTCACAGGTGATAGCCTAACCCACCATGCTTCCCTTTCGTAATAAGAAACAATTTGTTTATTTGAGAGACAGACAGAGCACTTTCATCTGCTGTCCAGATGCCTGCAGTGGCTGGGGCTGGGCCCAGCTGATGCTGGCAGACAGAACTCAGTTTGGATCTCTTCCACGCGTGACAGGGTCCCAGTTCCTCGAGCCTTCGTTGTTGCTTGCTGGGGTCTGCATTAGTGGGAGCCGGGCCAGGATTTGGGTTCCAGAAGGCTGGTCCCCTGGCCCTGTCTCTCAGGCATCACTAGTCTCTAGTGGACTTCTCTGTCCGTGTGGCTCTTCTGGAAGGCCAGTTACACTGCAGATGCTGGACATTGCTCTGGCTGGGGCTTTGTAAGTCTCAGAGCTGTGCGAGGTGCTCGTCTGGGACAGGCTTTGCTTGTGGCTCTTGTGGGTTTTTTTAAAGATTTATTTATTTTTATTGGAAAGGCAAATATATATATATATATAGGAGGAGGGACAGAGAGGAAGATCTTCTGTCTGATGATTCACTCCTCAAGTGACCACAATGGCCGGTGCTGCACTGACCCGAAGCCAGGAGCCAGGAACTTCCTCCAGGTCTCCCATGTGGGTGCAGAGTCCCAAGGCTTTGGGTCATCCTTGACTGCTTTCCTAGGCCACAAGCAGGGAGCATGATGGGAAGTGGAGCATCCAGGACATGAACCAGTGCCCATATGGGATCCTGGCATGTACAAGGCAAGAACTTTAGCAACTAGGCCATTGCGCCGTGCCCAGCTCTCATGTTTGTTCAGGTGTGAAAAGCACTTATGGCATTTTAGCAGCAAGCCCTTGGGTGAGTTCCTTTGCAGGACTGCACGCATCACACAGGGGGTGCAGGAGTCAGAAGAAGGAAGGAAGGGAAGGGGCGGTCTCGTCTTGGGTGACGTGCTTCCCTTCCCACGCTGGCCCCTCCGGCAGGTATGAGACAGCCAAGTGGGGGACCACCCGGTAGTGCAGCAGGTCAAGCTATGGCCTAAGACAAGGGCATCCCCTATGAGAGCACTGGTTCGAGTCCCGGCTGCTCTGCTTCCCATCCAGCTTCCTGCTAGTGCACCTAGGAACACATCATTGAGTACTTGGGTCCCTGTCAGCCATGTGGGAGGCCCGCGTGGAGTTCTGAGTTCCTGGTTTTGGCCTGGACCAGCCCTGGCCCCGGTGACCATGTGGAAAGTGAACTGGTGGATGGAAGGTCTTTATCTCTCCCTCTCTCTAGCACCATGTCTTTCAAAAATAAATACTTTTAAAATAAATGCTTAGGTAATGGAACTAAGGGTAAAGATTTTGATGGAAATAACTAAAAAAAAAAAAAAAAGATTTTATTTACTTTTATTGGAAAGTCAGAGAGACAGAGTTAAAGATCTTCCATCTGCTGGTTCACTCTCCAAGTGATCACAGTGTCCAGAGCTGAACCGATCCAAAGCCAGGAGCCTGGAGCTTCTTCTCGGTCTCCCACACGGGTGCAGGGTCCCAAGGCCTTGGGCCGTCCTCTACTGCTTTCCCAGGCCACAAGAAAGGAGCTGGATGGGAAGTGGGACAGGAGGGATATGAATTGGCACCCATATGGGATTCTGGTGCATGCAAGGTGGGGACTTTAACCACTAGGCTACTGTACCAGGCCTGCAAAAAAATTTGTTTTAAAAATCCTTGCATATAAGAGTCTTCAAAAAGACCCTTTCTTCATGGAAATACATATTATGAAAAAAAAAAGCATGGGTTTCCCAGTTTTTTTTTTCACACCAGCATACTTCCCATATCATTTTCCTGCATATGCTTTGAGGTACCCCAGTGTCTCCACAGGATACCAGGGCTTCTGAGTGCACCGTCTAGAACCCAGTGCACTGGAATCAAGAGTGGCTGCAGTGGCAGGAGGTCCCTGGGTGCAGGTGCGCGGTTGTGCACTGGCAGTTGTGTTGCCTTGCACACATCTCGTGTTGGAAGAGGATTAATCTCTCTGGGCCTGTTCAGCTGTGGACAAAGACAGCTTCGCTGCACACGCACAGGGCTGACACAAAGACGAATCCCACTGACAGATGGAGAAGTACATCACCCACTCTGAGGCAGCGTTAGAAGGCCAGGCAGTGCTAGTCTCACTTTGAATATTATGAAAAATGAGAAACTTAAGCCCAACAAAACACCAGACCATCCAGGGCCAGAGTCCATGCTGGACAGATAAAGAGCTTATCTCCTTTTCCAGGGGTCCTGGAGACCCAGTTGGGGGGGGGTGGGAGGAAGGGTGCTTCTGTCTAACCCCTCCCTCCTCTTCCGGGTCCCTGCAGCAAGCAGCCAGCCTGTCCCTGCCTGCCCCCCTTCCTCCCTGGGGAGAGGCCTAACAGTCACACACAGCCAGAGCTCTGTGAGCCTGTGGGAGAGCCCTGAGGCTCCAGAGGTGGACATGGAGTCCCCCTGGCTTCTTGTCCCCTTTCTTGCTGCAGGCCAGAGCGGACTTGGCAAGTCGACGCTGGTCAACACGCTCTTCAAGTCTCAAGTGAGCCGCAAGGCCTCCAGTTGGAGCCGGGAGGAGAAGATCCCCAAGACGGTGGAGATCAAAGCCGTCGGGCATGGTGAGGACCAGGCAAGGCCCCCGGGGAGCTTATGGTCACGTGAAGGGGGCCTCATGACAGCAGAATCAAGCACTGAAAGTTGGAAGCAAAGTCCCCAGACTGTCCGCGGGGGGCGGGGAGGCTGTGGCTGGAGAGGAACATGGGAGCAGGTGGGGATGTTGCGGCACAGGGGTGCTGCACTCTGAACCCCTGAGGCCCCTGGGATGAGGGGGCCTTTTCCCTGCACTCCCCAGTGATAGAGGAAGGCGGGGTCAAGATGAAGCTGACGGTCATAGACACCCCGGGCTTTGGAGACCAAATCAACAATGAGAACTGGTATGTGTCTTCCGCGAGGCTTCGGCCGCACGCTGAGACCTGTCTGTACCCTCCCTGCTCCGTAGCTTCCATGTCAGGCACTTCTGGAAAGCTGTCCATGGGGTGGGGAGGCAGGTGGGCGGGGCCCCCGGGGAGGTGGGAGACGGGATGGTGCTCTGACTGTGGTCCTGGCTCACTGTTGCATCCCACTGTTCCCTGCACCCTCAGCTGGGAACCTATTGAGAAGTACATCAACGAGCAGTACGAGAAGTTTCTGAAGGAGGAGGTCAACATCGCCAGGAAGAAGCGCATCCCCGACACTCGTGTCCACTGCTGCCTCTACTTCATCTCGCCCACGGGACACTCGTACGTGCTGGCCCTGTCCCCCTCCAAGACCTGCATCTGGCTTGCATCATGGGTGTCCACTCAAGGCTGGACAAGCAATGCCTTGACCTGGCTTGGGAGGGCCGAGGAGAGAGGCTAGCCACAGTATCACAGCTTTGGGATTCTCCCAGCCTGGCCATAGCTTTCTTGCTGGAGGGTCAGTGACAGACACTACACTGCCCACAGGTGTCCTTGCACCACAACTTGACTGCCCCAGCAGACAGAGCTTGGGATACGTGAGTGCAGGCTTTTTGTTTATTCAACAACTAGCAGCCTTCCGTGGACAAGGCGCTGGGTGGGGGTGGGGTGACAGGGTGAACTGGGAAGGGGCGGGGCTCTGGTCTGGAATGGGTGCTCTATTGGAGGTGGAGCCAGCTATGGGTATTTGGAAGGTGGCCTGCCCTGGTTGCGAAGCAGGGTCTCCTGGCATGAAGGTGACCATAAACAGAGCATTTGAGAACTCTGAGTGTGAGTAGCAGGTGCACCCCATGATAGCAAGGGCAGGAACGGGCTGAGGATGGAGAGCCCCAACAGCCCTCCTGTGGAGATGCAGTGTGTGTCAGGAACCTCTTAGTGTGCCCACATGCTGGGCAAGATGGCACTAGCAGGGAGGCCCTAAGTGTGGGAGGAGACATGAACTCAGCAGGTCCAGCAATGGGGAGGAGAAAAATGCCACAAGAACTTGGTCTAGGCCCAGGATCTCAGCACAAGATGGGCTTCGTACCTTCCCAGTCCTTGACTCACGCTCACAGGAAACCAGCACCTGTCAGCTGGAATCAGGGAAGGGGGTACATGGCCCTCGGAATGGGAGGAGGCCTGGCAAGAAATGCTGACCCCCAGGCAGAATGGGACACACTCATGGCACAGGGCGCAGGTAGGGACGATGGCCCACAAGTCAGAAAAGCTATGGTGCGGGAGCAGCCCAAGGGCACAAAAGACAGCCAGACTTTGGAGAGGACTTGGAGAAAAAGAGGAGGAGCAATGCAGGGTTGGGGTACCCTAAGGCAGTGAGGCAGTGGGCGTGTGTCCGCCTCTCTCCCTGCCCGTCTCCATCCTCCCCACCCAGGGATTGCTGCGGGGCGGTGGCTGTGGCTGAGGGGGTACGGGCAAGGTGACTGTCACATGTGTGCTTTTCTGGGCCCCAGCCTGCGACCTCTGGACCTGGAGTTCATGAAGCACCTCAGCAAGGTGGTGAACATCGTCCCAGTGATCGCCAAGGCCGACACCATGACGCTGGACGAGAAGTCCGAGTTCAAGCAAAGGGTGGGGCTCCCTTTCCCGTCTTTGTCCCTTCTGGCCCCTGCCCTGTGTCCAAGTCATCTGCTGACCTTCGTGGGTCCTCCTTTACTCCCCCGACCTCAGGCTGCACTTCCCACTTCAGCTCCCACCCAAACACACCGGCTGGGGCCAGAGGTCTCTGCGGGTCCCCCAGAGGTGATGCCACAGTTTTGGCCACCGGTGCTGGTGCTGGAAGCCCACTGGACCCAGGCTTCTCTGTAACTGTGAGGGGCCACGCCTCACATGCTTGGTTCCCCCACGTCCCTCTAGTCCCTACTGGCATCTTCTGTAAACTCAGCCCCCACTCCCTTCTGGACCTGGGGAGGTGAGGATTGAGGGAGATTGTGCCTGAAGCTCACAATTCAATAAGGGCCTGAAGAGGTCCTGGATGGCGCCCTGGAGATGGGGTTAAGCTGAGCCTGCAAGGAGCCAACAGATAGGCTGGGAGTGGGCGATGGGCTCACCTCCCCGCCTGCAGACGGGGCTGCAGTGCCTCCCGCTGGGACCTGCCTGCTTGCCTGTGGGCAGCCGGCACCCCCTAGGCTGCGGTGACTGTGGGTGTGGGGCTAGTGTTCACCCAGGCTCCTCCCGTCGCCCACGGAAGGCTCAGGATTGAGACCTGTGTGCCTGCGCCGAGCCTGAGCTGCGGCTGCTTTTGTCGCCCCTCTGTTTCTGTAGGTCCGTAAGGAGCTCGAAGTCCACGGCATCGAATTCTACCCCCAGAAGGAGTTTGATGAGGACCTGGAGGACAAGACGGAGAATGACAAAATCCGGGTGCGTGCCTCTGAGGTCTTCCCACAGCTCCTGCCCCACCTTGGCCGGAGAGGAGGACTTGGGCCAGGCAGGACCCGGGGCCACGGAGGGGCTCGCTGCTCAGAGAGCTGGTGTTTCCTCCCCTCCCCAGCCCAAGCAGGGTGTGGCAAAGCTGGTTCGTGGAGTGGTAGAGGAGCCTTGGGTGGGAGACCTTAGGGGGGATCTGTGGGCTAGTCAGGCTCTGCCTTGATTTCCCTGCTTATGAAGTGCTGGGTTAGCCCAGGTGAGTGGTTTATGGGGCTCCTGTTAGGACAGTCCTTTCCCAAACATCTTCAGGATGCAGTGCATGCTAGCAGCTGCCTTGGCCAGGCGGCGCCAGCAATTTACTTTTGTCAGGTCTTTCCAGAACATTCCAGGATATTCAGAAAAATAACTCCCTTAATTTATCTAATGCAGTCATGATCTGAAGCTGCTTTGGTCATTGAAGGACCCTCTGGGTCCTGCCTTGCTGCCATTGCTGCTGCCTTGCGATGTGCTAGCCATCTTAATTTATATACTCACTGTGACACTGGTACACACCAACTTGTCCCCATTGTGAAATGATGTGTGGCTGTATCTAATTACAACATGAAGTGTGTATGGGGAAGACAGATCTGGGAGCACACAGCTGGCGTGTGGTTCACACACAACACGCCCCCCGTTCAGCCGAGGGATGAGGACGGAGTGGACACAGGGTGAGGCCTGGGTGAGTCCGGTTGGCCACTCAGGTGTCTTAGCTCACAGAGTTCTTCCCCAACAAAATGTGGGCTGCAGCGAAACAGAAGCTATAGAGTGCTCTGTGGCTGAAGACGGCCAGATTCACAGAGGTTAACTGGCCGACAGTCCAGCGCTCTTTCTGAAGGTCAGAGCCTTGTCCTGGTTATCAGAATGTGCAGGCTCGAGGGCCAGGACCCTTTGTGCCTGCCCTTGCACGCCCAGGTCGTAGGAGGGTGAGTGTGCATGTGTGTCCTACTTGTGTCTCTGTCCTGTCCAGCAGGAGAGCATGCCTTTCGCCGTGGTGGGGAGTGACAAGGAGTACCAAGTGAATGGCAAGAGGGTCCTCGGCAGGAAAACCCCCTGGGGGATCATCGAAGGTAATTCGGGGAATCTCCTGGAAGAACTGGCCGTGGTCAGTGAGCCAGCAGTCAGACACCTGCAGGTCAGGGTACGCAGACACGGTTGACTTGCAGGCAGATTCTGCCTGTGAGGAGCTTACGGTCTGATGGAGAGAGGACACGCACAGGCAGTAAGCGTTGAGGGGCTGGTTTAGCACCTGACCAGGCAGCACCGCCAGGAGAGTTCAGAACAGAGACAGGTCAGGACTGGAAAAGCCAGGGAGAGGCTCCCCAGGCAAAGGCTGTGCGCTCTGATGCAGGGCTGAAGGGTGTTCAGGACTGCTGTCTTAACTGTGGACGGTGTGACCTCGAGCAGCAGGTCGATGGTTCTGCAAGGTTTCCAGGTTTCTTCAAGGAGCTCATTCCATATGAGAGCCCTACGAGGGGTTACACGAGGGCAGGTGTTCCCGGTCTCAGAATGCGAGCGCTCAGCAAACAGTTCATGGAAAACGCTTGCCATGGAAAAGCTGTGTGAAGTCCAACGTGGTGTGTGCGCGCCCGAAGAAACATCAGGTCCCATTCCCCGTGAGCTCTATTTATTTGAAAGGCAGGGTGATAGAAAGTGTCCAGCCTGCTGGTTCACTCCCCAAATGCCTGCAACAGTTGTATGCCGACCCAGAATCAGGAACTCCACATGGACGCCTGTAACACAAGTCCGTGGCCAACACCTGCTGCTTTTTCAGGTGCAGTGCAGGAAGCTGGAGTGGAAGTGCAGAGAAGCCAGGACTCTGCTGTGGGGTGCAGGGTCCTAAATGGTGGCTCAGCCTGATGTGCTACCATTTTTGAAGTGCCTCCTGTAAGATGTGCCTTGCCCAAGCCCACTTAAACTTGCTAGTGGTGGAACTTGGATTTCAGAATTGGGTATTTTTTTTAAAGAGTTATTTATTTTTATTGAAATGGCAGATACACAGAGAGGAGAGACAGATAAGATCCTCCAGCTGATGGTTCACTCCCCAAGTGACCGCAACAGCCGGAGCTGAGCCGATCCGAAGCCAGGAGCTCTTCTGGGTCTCCCACGTGGGTGCAGGGTCCCAAGGCTTTGGGCCGTCCTCGACTGCTTTCCCAGGCTACAAGCAGGGAGCTGGAAGGGAAGCGGGGCTGCCGGGATTAGAACTGGCGCCCATATGGGATCCTGGGGCGTTCAAGCTAAGGACTTTAGCCATTAGGCTACTGTGCCGGGCCCCTAGAGTTGGGTATTTTGATTCTAGAAATCAAAGCTTACCCTGCTGTTGTCCCTCTGCTGTGCTCTTTAGTTGGGATTTTTCTAAAAACAGCATTTTACCATCTGCTTTGAATTGGAATTCTTTGTGAGAATGTATGCCTCGTGCACTGGACTGTGTGGCCAGAGGATACAGGCCTTTGCTCAGACAGCCCTTGGTGAGTGACTTGGCAACTAGCAGCTCCTCTGGGTTGGGCTGGGTTCATCACGCACAGTGTGACCTTTAAGATGGTTCAGTTGAGATTCAGGGGAAAAAAAAGGTTCAACTGGTATTTTCTGTGCATTACCTTCTTCCAATCAGATGATAAGCTCCTTAAAGATAAAAATTGTGTCTTCAGCCTTGACAAGTTTCCTGGACGCCTGTGTGTTGGTTTTGGGGGACACAGTAGGTGCTCAGAGCTATCATTCCAGAGCGTCTGGAACAATATTGCGCCCATTGTACCTGGTTCCTAAATGTTTGCTTGGCGGATGGCATCCACTGCCTCCAGGAGGATCACAGGGAATCGTGTCTCTCTCCTGCGTACTTCCATGGCCCCAGCAGAGGCTCCCCTCTGGGATGCTGCTGCTGCAGGAATGAAATGAGCCCTTGCTGTGTTTTGTCCACAGTGGAAAACCTGCACCACTGTGAGTTTGCCCTGCTCCGAGACTTTGTCATCAGGTAAGCTGTCCCCTCCCTCCCTGTCCAGGTGGAAGGTCTTGCCCCTCGGGACTCCTGAGTGTGTCTGAAGACTCCAGCCCCTGTCTCAAAGCAGGAGGGGCTGTCGGCATGTCTGGCTCTGGGGCGGGCCCCGTGTGTGGAAGTGATGTATTGACCATGCCTCCTCTCCCATCTCGCCCATGGTCCTCCAGGACTCACCTCCAGGACCTCAAGGAAGTGACGCACAACATCCACTATGAGACTTACAGGGCCAAGCGGCTCAATGACAATGGAGGCCTCCCCCCGGTGAGCGCGGACACAGAGGAAAGCCGTGACAGTAACCCATGACGACCCCTTCTGTGTCCTCACGCATACCCACCTCTCCACACACACGCATCCCAAACACCACTGCCAGCCACCAACCACCTCCTTCCTTTTGACTGCGTCCCACAGGCTTGTCTGATTTGTGGAGCATCTTGTCTGTGTTTGCGTGTGTGTGTGAGAGAGACAGAGCGAGTGAGAGCCTGTGTGTGTGTGCGTGTGTGCAGGGGTGAGGTATTTTCATTGCTTTCCCTGGAAAAATCCCCTGGAAGTTTGGTTCCTTCATAACTGTCCATTATCTGTCTCCTTTCCTTGTGTCCCAGAACAAAGCTGTGTGCCTCACTCGAGAGGTTTTGGGGACGGTTTCATTGAAATATGACGGGAGCACAGATGAACCCCCGGCAACTCTCCCATCTTTGAATACTGCTCCTCTCCACACCGTATGGGGGGACAGCAGAGAGTCCCCCAGGACAGGTGGCCCCCAGCAAAGACCTGGGGAGAGTGGGGAGTTCAGGACTGTGCTCCCAGTAAGTTGTGAGTGGTCTAGGCTAAGTGTAGGACTTCCAGGAGAAGGAAGAGTCAGTCCACCTGAAGCAGGTTCCTGTGGTTGCCATCTGCGCCCAGAGGTGGGGCTCCATTCCTTGGACGCAGTCACTGTCAGCATTGCAGACTTCCACACTCATCTGGCCTCTGCCTCTTCTTCCTCCCCTCTCTCCCACCCCCTGCCTGGCTCTGACCTCTTCCACTGCCTTTCAAACTAAACCACTTCTTCATTTTCACAGTTAGAACTGATGTCCCATTTACTTCTAGATGGGACTTTAGGCAACCTTCAATTTCCAACTGAAGGCATGGGGCAGTTGAGACAGATCCCAGAGCAGAGATCAGAGCCATGGCGAGAAGCGGGTGCTGAGATAGAAGAGCCTTGAGCTTCTGAGTCGTCAAGGCCCAGGGGAAGACAGCGAGGCGATGGCTGCTGGGGCCAGGAGGGAGGAAGCACACGTGCTGGGCATCTGAGGCAGACTTGGGGCAGGAGGTGTAGGTTCTAGAAGATCTAGACAGACAGCAGACTTGATGGTGCTTGTCTCTCTGTGGTTTGTCTGCAGGGACACACCTCCCTTCTGCCCTCAGCCTTCTCTCTCAGGTGGGCGGGCTCCCCTTCTGCTTGCTGTGTCTTTCATGTCATTGGCCCCTCCTGGATTCCTCTGTGGTTCTCCCTTCCTTCCATGCTGCAGCTAAACTGCACTGTGTCTTTTTCTGCTTTTCCGTCTCTTTCCTCCTGACTGCTACCCGACATTGCCAGGGACACCTGCACACTGGCATTTAGCCTTTTCTTGCGCTTTCTCACAAGACCCATATTTATTGGTGCATTTATGCCCCCTCTTTGTGACCCAAATAAGTGCCCCTTTTGCTTTCATCACAAGGTTACTGACGTTTGGGGCTGGGGAAACAATGTGGCCTCCGGAAAGGGAAAGCACCAGGTGATTCTGTCACCGCGAGGTCCTCTCACAGCCACCCACCCTAGATCCTGCCCTCCACTAATGCCAGCACTTCTGAGCCCACTTAAGACTCAAGAGTCAGAGAGCCAGGAGAAAGCGGTGGGCAGATCACCAGGGTGGTCTCAGTCTCTCCTGAAGGACCCTTTCCAACCCAGCCCTGGTCCTTCTTCATCTACTACGGTGGGTCAGCAGCAGCATTACAACCCAGAGAGTGGTCCTGTATGGGACAGGGGAAGATGGAGGGGTGAGGGTGGGGGTTTTGGAGCAGCTGTGTAGGAGTGCGGTGCGTGGCACCCCTACACCATGACCCCCAGACAAGCCGTTGTTATGTGTCTGTGGCTAGCTGCTGGTCTCTCCACCCCATCAACCGTTCTCAACTCCCCTGCAGGGAGAAGGCCTCCTGGGCACTGTCCTTCCACCTGTGCCAGCCACCCCCTGCCCCACTGCTGAATGAAGGCCATTTCAAGCGCTGCTTCTCCCTCCATTCATCCCAGCTGTAATTGCTGCAGGCCCTCTTTAGTGCTTGTCCCACCCACCCCCACGCCCACTCCCACGCCCCTCAGCCCTCAGCAGGCACCAGGGGCCTACGGCTTCCAGGTCAGTCGCTTCCTCTGTTTAGCCAAATGGAGTTGTCACCAGCACTGCCCTGCTCCATCATCCCCGACAGCCAACCCAGCCCCTCCGCGGGGTGAAGGGGTCATCCCAGCTGCTCATGCCAGTCTCCCCGGGAACGGTCCTGTCCTGCCCGTCCATCTGCATGAGCCATTCTTGGCGTCTCTTTAGAGGGTCAAGAAAGTGAACCTGCTGCTTGTTAGATCACGGGGGCAAAGGGTGCGCTCCAGTGGGAGGCCAGGGCCTTCCCTGCATTGCTTTAAGGTGAGGGTGGGTCACGGCCGATGAGGGGGGGCAGGGGCCAGCCTGTAGTGGCTGCCCGAGGGTGCTTACACACCCTCCCCACCTCACTAACGCAGCCACTCAGAGTGGGTTTCCCAGAGATGGTGCTGGAGTTGACTTCCTTAGCCCCAGATCCAGAACTAGACCCAACAAAGCTTCAGAAGTCTGCAAGATGTTCTCAGTAGGAAAGCACCCTTCTGTTCACTTTAGCAATAAGAGGAATCTCTTCCCACTTCCCCAGACTGCTCCTAGCCCCCATCCCTTTAGTGTGAGTAATGCATTAGCCTGACCACAGGTGGTCACTGCCGGCTAATGGAAAATACCCCACGGAGGGCCAGGCCCCCCTCAGATGCATGAATGATTGTGAATGTCGGCTGCCACTACCCCACACACTTAGAGCCCCCCTTCTGGCCCACCCACTCACCCCAATCTCCACCTGGATACAACTTGCTCAAAGGCTGGTGACTTACGGGTCATCCATCTACGACCAAGTCCATGCCTAGGGGATGCAAGAAGGACGCATTTCCTAAGCGTGACCAGTCCCAGCCAATCTGGTGATAACATTCGGTTCGATTTCCCGGCTGAAAACCAGGCAACATGGCACTCAGAGTGGTCGTGTAAGCGTCGCTAGACTTTCCGTGTTGTGCAACTAAACATTGCTGTTTGAACAGTAACTGCCTGGTCTGTGTCTTCTTTCTGCTTCTTGCTCCCTGAACAAATCAGCCATGACATCATCTGTGTGTGGAAGGTGAGCCAGGGACCGCTTTGCTAAGAAGTGGCCACAAATCGGGGCCAGTGTGGTGGCATGGTAGGTGAAGCTGCCACGTGCAGCACCAGCATCAGTATGGGGGCACCAGTTTAAGTCCTGGCTGCTGTACTTCCAATCCAGCTCCCTGCTAATGCACCTGTGAAGGCAGCGAGAGATGGCCCAAGGGCTTGGGCCCCTGCCTGTTTGCTGTGCCGGGAACGGGAGCTGATAATCATACATGTGGACTACTGCTGATGGTCAATAGCCAGAGTTTATTCGTAGCAGATTTTAAAGACCGAGGGTTGTGTCGGCGTAAGGAGGGAGGGTCTGCAACAGGATATGATCCTGTACAAGCAAGGGAGGTCAGCCAGCAGATGGCGTGTTTTTCTAGCAGGCCACGAATGGTTAAACAGTACAGGCAAGAAACTAGGAAAAGCACCTCTCTTTGATCTCTGCCAAGGACTGGGCGGTATTCAAGGTTCCCCATTGTCCTAATCAGTGGCTTCCCATAAGGGAGTTTCCTATGTCTATTTTCCCATTACAATTGCTTCAGGGTCTTTGCCCTGAGTTTTCGGAGCTTCCTCCAAGGTGACAGTTGGGTATGGTTTTACAATGGTGAGATTTGCCACTCTCCCATTTCCTGTCTTCCTAAACCTTCCAACCATGTGGGAGATGTGACCTGGCCAAGACCCTGCTGCTGTGTGACCATCTCAGAAGTGAACCAGTGGATGGGGGATCTGACCCTCTTTGTCAGACCCCCTCTGCCTGAGTCAGGCCCCCTCTGCCTGAGGACAGACCCCTTTTGCCTTAGGACAGACCCCCTCAGCCTGAGGACAGAACCTCTTCTGCCTGAGTCTGACCCCTTCTTTCTGAGGTCAGGCCCTGGCCATTTCCCAGAATTTTAGTACTGAAAGTAAAGGTGACCCTGGAAAGACATCACACTTCGCCTCCTACAGTGAAAACCCATATTTTTATTCCCTAAACTTGCTATGTTTCCTCCTCCTCCCTGGAGACAGAGACCAACTCCATGAGAGCTGTGTGTCCATCTTTCTTAGACAGCTGTCTCCTACAGTGACTGGGTTAATAGCTTGTATTTTTCTTGAACTTCAACCCACTCTTTTCCTTGGGGCTCACACTCTCCCAGCAAGCATCACAGCTCTCACCTCTGTATTTGGATGGCACGACCACACACACTGGAGCTGGAGCCTCAACAATTAGCAGGATGGGAGCAAAGTACAGGTGAGTGGTGGGACATGGTTTGGAAGGGTCTAAATTGGGGGACTCAATTTTTGGAGTCATTCAAATAGAGTGACAGAGGCAGGAAAGAGTGGCAACGTGACATTGACATGGAGCAAAGAAAGATGTTGGTGAATGTGTCACCTCTGAGACCCCTAAGTGTCCTTCTAGTCCAATGCTAAGGGCAGACAGACAAAGGAAATGCAGAGAGCAGAATCCTCTGGCTAAGGTGACATTTAGTTACCAACACTGAGGACACCAGGGGACATCTTAAACCCAATGGCGCGCCAGTTTATGTGCCAGTGTTTTTTCCTAGTGGTCTACAAAAAAACGATTGCACTTCTGCTTGGCAACAGAAATACAGTGTCCCTGGAGATGTCTGCTGTTATCTGTGATGCTGGAAGCACAGAATATGGTCCCGTGTCCCTCACTGTGTTCATCATAAATGCCCCAGGCACAGAGCAAGTAGTACGGGGGCCGCTGTTGCTTTCCGGACTGCGAGGGGGTAAGAGTAAGCAGTGCTGTAGGCGGAAGTCAGGGCTGACAGTAGCCCGGTTAGACGTGCAGGCGTCTGGGTTCCTTGTCCTCAAGGCAAAACCTCACACCAGGGCATTGTCTACAGAGGAGATTCCCTGGTGTCCTTCTCAGACAGCGGATGGGGGCTGGCAGCCATGCGAGGGTGCCAGTGCAGATGCCAACGCTGTAGCTGGGGAGGAGGCCGAGGCGGCCATTCACCTCATTTCTTTAAAGGCAGAGAAACCTTAGAGGCTTCCCAAGGGTTGGCAACAGTGGGGGCTGCAGCCCCCTCACGTGACCGCTCGTGTCTTTGCGCCACAATCTCCGCCCACTCTGCAGAGCCCCGCCCCGCGGCCCGGCCGCGCCCCTTCCCATCTGAGGGGCGGCAGGAGGAGGGCCTGGGCCCGGAATGGCGGTGAACCAGAGCCACTCCGAGGACCGCCGGAGGCCGGCCATCCCCCACGGAGAAAGGTGCCTCATGGGGAGCCCGGGTTCTGGTCCGCGGAGGGAGAAGCATGAGGAAGACCCGGCGCCAATCAGGGGCCGGCCCGCGTTTTTCAACGTGTGACACCTGACTCCGCCCCGGGCGTTGGGACGGACGCCTGCCATTGGCTGTCCGAGCTGGGGCGGGGCCGCGGGGTCTAGCGCGGGCGGCGGCCTGCGGTACCCGGCTGTGGTGAGGGGACCCGGCTGTGCGGACGAGGAAGCCCCCGGCCTGGCTGCCGCTGGGAGCCCGCCGTTTTACAGGGTGACGACGCCCAGGCGTCCCGGGCGCGACCCTGGCCCCCGCCCCCGGGAGCAAGGGCGGGTGCTGCGTGGTCCTTCTCGAAGGTTCTCGAACTGCCGCGGCCCTCTCTCCATTGCTCTTGGAGCGTTTCGAAAGTCCTTTACTGAAAACCTCGTGGCGACAGAGGAGAAGCCGTGGCAGAGTCCGCGGACGGCCTGGAGTCCACCCTGCTGTCCTCGTCCGTTCCACGGCTGCGCCCGGCGCGCCCAGCGCCTTTCCAGTCTTGACAGAGGCGTGCGTGCGGGTTGTGGGTGCGTGCTGCCCCAAGGCCTGCGCTGTCTGTCCCGCGGGCAGGGCAGGGTGGACGGGCCGGCTGCTCCCGCCAGCTCGCTCTGCACCGGAAGCAGGGAATGAAAGGCTCCTCTCTCTCTTTTTAATTATCGCCCTTTGATCTTCACTGAATCCATTCTGTGCTCCCGAATACACAGTAGTACTTATTGAGTACTTTAGTGTGGCAGGGGCTATATCTTTATAATTAGAATTGCTCCATCTACAGTGAGAATGGGTAATGATTTCCTGGGGTTACAGATGAGAAAACTGAAAATAACGGGCTAATGAATGTGAGAGGGCTCTTTTTTTTTTTTTAAATTTTTAGAATTGTCTACAGAGTTGAGTGGGATGAACGCCCGTGTGGTGCCCAGTCAGGGTGGGGAGGGCCCAGGCGTGAAGGTCGGTGAGACAAGTGCTTCAAATTTTTTCTCATGGCAGGAGAGAGAGGGGACCACTCCTTGCTGTCAGACTACACCGGGGACAGGGGACAGTCCTTGGAGGAAGTGTGGGAAGAATGTTCCGAGAGTGCTGCTTGATTGGTTTGGATAGTTCTGAGGTGTTACCAGCTTTGTTGTGCCAGGGATTAGAACTGATGCCCATATGGGATCCTCGCATGTGCAAGGTGAGGACTTCAGTCACTAGGCTACTGCGCTGGGCCCGGATATCTTTTGAAATATATCGTTGTCACCTGTCAAAATGATTTTTGGGAAATATGTTTAGCAGAGGTGAATTGGAAAGTCAAGATTACATAGTCTCTTTAAAAACAGATTAAAAATCCTTGTCAAAATATATGTATATGAAAATATATTGCAAAATCATCCTACAGAATTGAATCAGTCCGAATTTCTTCCAGTGTTCTGCGTGTCCAGTTCTCCTTCCTTTGCCCAGCAACCCTGCGTGTCTGGCAGCGACCATGCTACTTTACGAATTCACCTTCAGATGCTTCCCAGAGCTGGAATCACCATGTTTGTCTTTTGGATGGGCTTCTTTAACTTGCATGTCCTTCAGGTCTCCCCTTCTTTTTAAGACTAAATAATAACTTCAAAATAAAGATTTATTTGTTTTCATTGGAAAGACAGATTTTAAGGAGAGAAGGAGAGACAGGGAGATTCTCTATTGGCTGGTCACTGCCCAGGTGACCTCTGTGGCCGGAGCTGAGCTGATCCGAAGCCAGGAACTTCCTCCACATCTGCCACTGGCTTTCATGCATGCTTCAGTCATTCATCCACTGAGGAACATTTTGCTTCCTTCTGCCTTCTGGCTACTGTCAGTTGTCCCACTACACGTTCTAGGAGGCAGAGATCTCATTCGAGAAGTTGCTTGCGAGTGTTTTGGCGGTATCTTTAGTCATGATTGCTGGAGCATCATTTAACTTGTTTTTATTTTTTGATCTGCTTTCCACAGCAGCTGGGTAATTCTGCAGCTCCACCAACAGTGCATGGGTGAGATTTCCCGTTTCTCCACAGCCTCGCCAACACTGTTTCCTTGTAATATTAAGTAGCCATCATAGAGGACATACATGGCTTTGTGGCTTTGATTTGTGGCTTTGATTTGCATTTCTCTTCCAAGTAATGAGGTTGAGAATATTTTCAGAGCTTTTTGGCCATTTGTATATTGTCTTTGGAAATATGTCTATCTAATCCTTACTCCATTTTATGATCAGACTTTTGATTTTTGCTCAGTTATGCATGTTTTTGATATGTTGACAATATTTGCCCTGTAGCACATATGCAAACCTACAAGCATGCCTCTTGTTCTTGGGTCATCTCTGTTGACTGTGACTTTACACAGAAGTTTTTAAAATGGGGATTGGACTTGGTGTAGTGGTTGGGGTCTTGCTTGGGGTGGCCTCACCGCGTCCTGGGGTGCTGATTTGAGTTCTGTCTTAGCTTCCTGCTAGGGACGCTCGGGTGGAAGAATGATGTAGTACTGAGCTTTATGCAACGCTCATGAGGGTGCTGCCCCTTTCTCCCTCCACCACACGAAGGCAGCTCAATATGGAAAACTCTTTTGAAGAAGGCCAAGACAAGGTGAAAGTAAAACCCATGGTGGCAGATCGTTCACATTAATTTGTGAGGAAAAATTTAGACATCCTCTAACTCTTAGAAAATATTTATAAGAATTTGTTTATTTTTTCCCTTCTATTTTATTTTAAAATTTATGGTACAATTCCATAGGCTCTGGGATTTCCTCTACCTGCTCGCCAAATTTGCTCCCCCCAAGTTAATTCCCCCATATTATTATATAGTATAATCCTTCATAAGCAGTCATAAGTCCATCATTCTGCAATTTTAGTGTGTTCTGACATTGCTGGTACAGGCAATGGCAGACAGCCCAGCATCCTATTGTCAAGATGCATCCAACTGTCTTGTTGGGAGTCCATCTTTGTTTTGGAAGCAGTGATGCATATTGCGTTGTATCTTCACATCTGGATATGATAGTCTCTGTTACGTAGTTGCTATAATTCCCTTAAATAAGAAGCCATAAAACAAAGTCAACAACAGGAATAAAGTTTAAAAAATGTACAGCAGAATTCACTTATGGTTTTATCTACTTGAAAGTCAGAGAATGTTGGAATGAGAGACAGAGGTAGACACCTCATCCACCCAGTGGGTCATCTCCCAAATGTCCGTGACAGTCCAGAACGGGGCAGGCTAAAGGCAGGAGTCAAGAGCTCCGCCCCAATCCACTGCAGCGGTGACAGCGACCTAAGCATCAGGGCCAACTGCTGCTGCTTCTGCAGGTGTGTTAGCAAGTGCTGGATCACAAGTGGAGCAGCTAGGACTTGAACCAGGCCAGAAGGGGGATGCTGGTTTGCCAGCAATGGTGGCCTCTGCTTTGACATTTTGGTGCAATTTATACTGTATAGTATATTACTTATGATCTGTAATTTATGTTTTTGTCCTTTCCAAAAAATTTAGTAGCATCTGCTCTTTCCTGGAGCTATAGTAGCAAAGAAGAGAGACACTTTTTAAATCACATTTATTTATTCAGTGTCTTTTCTGATAGTCATTAAAAGATATGTATTATGATAATTATTAAGAAAAAACCCTTGGGGCCAGAGTGGTGATGGAACTGGCTAATCTTCTGCCTGCAATGCCCTTTTCCCACATGGGCACCAGTTCATGTCCCGGCTGCTTCACTACCCATGGCTTTTGGGGAGTGAGCCAGCAGATGGAAGAATTTCTCTCTCTCCTCTCTCTCTCTCTGTAAATCTACATTTCCAATAAGAATAAGTCTGAGAAGAAAGGAAAAAAAAAACAAGGAGGATTGTATGAGTTGAGGTTTCCTGGGTTGAGTGAGAGGAGATGAGAAGTTGAGGGAAGAAGCATCAGAAGCTGCTGGGCCTTCACCTTCATTACAAGTCAGAAAACTGTACAGTGTTTTGTTTTGTTTAAAGATTTATTTATTTGAAAGTGTTACACAGAGAGAGATCGTCCATCTACTGGTTCATTCTGATGGCCAGAGCGACTGGGCTGGGGCGAGCTGGAGCCAGGAGCCTCTTTCAGGTCTCCCACGTGGGTGCAGGGGCCCAAGCACTTGGCCATCCTCCTCTGCTTTCCCAGGTGCATTAGCAGGAAGCCGGGTCAGAAGTGGAGCAGCCAGATCTTGAACTGGTGTCTGTATGGGTGTTGGAAGTTTAATGTGCTATGCCACAGCTCTGGCTCCAGCACAGTGCTTCGTACTGACTGTTCAGTAACCATCAGGATTAACGAACAAACGTGGAAAGCAGGAGTGAGTTTGACAAGATGACGACTTTTGTGGTAAACAGGCAAAAGAGTAAGAGTGAATTGTCAGAGTAAGATGATTTGAATTTGTTTTATTTCAACAAAGTGGCAGTGGTAGCGGCAGCGGCCTCCATTCATGGATGCGTGCTGAGACGCGGCAGTGGGCTGAGAGCTGTGGTCCTGTTCTCTTGCGTGTCTGCCCTCCTCCCACGGCCTCCTGGTGGAGTGTGGCCTCTGAGCCGCGCGTGTCTGCCCTCCTCCCACAGCCTCCTGATGGAGTGTACGGATGTGGACCTGTCCTTCCCACAGCAGCCACAGAGCTCCAGCCTCTTCAGCGGCACTAAAAGCGGAACGCTGTTTCTCACTTCCTACCGGGTAATTTCTACTTGTATTTTGATCTTCTGATTTATTCTACATTTGTTTGCCTAAAAATGGAAAAAAAAAGCTAACATTGGTTTTCAAAGCTTTTTAAAAATTTTATTTATTTGGAAGGGAGGGAGCACAGGAGAGGGAGAAAAAGCTTCCATCTGCAGGTTCACTTCCTTAATGGCTGCAACAGTTGGAGCTGGGCCAGTCTGAAGCCAGGAGTCAGGAACCTCTTCTGGGTCTCCTGTGTGGTTCAGGGGCCCAAGGCCTTGGGCTATCTTGGTTTTCTAGGTCTTTAGCAAGGGGCAGGATGGAAGTGGAGCAGCCGGGATTTGAACCAGACACATATAGGATGCTGACACTGCAGGTGCTTGACACCACAGCACTGGCTGCTCAAAGTGTTCTAAAAGCATTTCACTCTGAGATTTTCCGAGTTGAAGAGTGATGGAAGGGACTGGGGGGTGTGTCTCCATCAGACCCCAGTGCCAAGGCAGCACTGCCCTGCTCCGTGGCTGGACCCCACACCTCGTTGCTAACGTGCGTTTCCTCACTCAGGTGATTTTTTTGACTTCACATTCAGTCAACGATCCCATGTTGTCCTTCATGATGCCATTTCACCTGATGAAAAACTGCACCGTTGAACAACCGGTCTTTGGTGCAAATTACATTAAAGGAACCATTCTTGCGGCTCCTGATGGTACGTATGACAGTTTCCTCAGAAGCTTCTAGAAGGTTTCAGAATGTTGGAATTCAGATGAAAGCTGCGCTGCTTCTCGGGGGTGGCATCTCAGCGTTGGTGGCAGCCCTGATATCTGCTGTGCCCATCTCTTGGTGCTGTTTCTTCCCTAGGTGGCTGGGAAGGACAGGCGACATTCAAATTAGTCTTCAGAGGGGGCGGTGCCATCGACTTCTCCAGGGTGATGGCAGAGGCGGCCTCTGCTGGTGAGTGCTTCCGCTTACGGTATTATGTTCTGTGGTTTCCAGGCGGGTGGGAGGCCAAAAGGTACTGGCCTCTGGGCTCAGGCAGCTGCCTTTCCCGAGCCTACCCACCGTGTGCCAAGTGCCACACTACCTGCTAGGGGCACAAAGATGACCCAGTCCCTCCCTGACCTCTAGGAGGTTGTGATCTAGTGGGAGCTGACACTGAGGCACCCGAGACTCATGAGAACTGAGGCTCTGTGGTCTATTAGCAGTATTCATGAATGTACTTTGATGTATTTGAAAGACACACACGTGCGTGGAGAGGGAAGAGATCTTTCATGAGCTGGTTCATTCCCTAAATTCCCACAGGAGCCAGGGCCGGGTTGGGCTGAACCTGGAGACAGGAACTCCATGTGGGTCTCCCACGTGGGGGGCAGGGACAGTACCTAATAACGGTGCGGCGTGCACTGATCCAGAATCTAATCCCAGATCACACATGGAATTTAGCAGTCCTGTTCCTTGGCCTCCTTGATTTTGGAACTCAACCTTTTTCTTTTCTTTTTTTTCCCCAATATTTCATGACATTGACATTTAGAAAGAACACAGACTAATTTTGTAAAATACTACTCATTTGGGGTTTATCTTTTTCCTCATGATTGTACTCAGGTTGTGTATTTTGGCAGAAATACTATGTAAATGATGTTGTGTCCTTTTGAGCTGGCATAGTTTAAGGCACTATTTATTTTTAAAGCAAGAGGAAGAGAGAGAGAAAGAGAGAGAGAGAATCTTCCATTTTCTGATTCACTCCCCAAATGGCCACAATGGTGGGATTGGGCCAGGCCCAAGCCAGGAACCTGGCGCTCCATTCAGGTCTCCCACATTGTGGGCAGGGGCTCGGGTGCTTGGGCCATCTGCTGCTCTTCTCTCAGCTGCATTAGCAGGGAATTGGATCAAAAGTTGGACGACCTGGACTTGAACCAGCACTCTGATATGGGATGCCAACATCGCAAGTGGCAGCTTAATGTGCTATGCCACAATAGCCCCAGGCGGTACTTTTTCAAGCCCTGAATCAAGCCGAGCATGAGGTCCGCAGGGCCGCTAGAGGCCATGAGTCGCAGCTTGGTGTTCCAGGGACGAGCTGTGAGCGGGACTGATGTGGAACTCCTCTCTGGCGCTGAGTGGGAGGCTCGCTCAGTAACTGAGAATGGCGGGCCAACGGCCCTTAGCTCCAGGAGACAGGAGGGGAAGGAAGTGAGCCGACTGTGGAGTGGGGAGGGCTGGTCGCGAGGGAAGAAGATGAGCAGGTGAGTTTACGACGATAGAAGTCAAGGAAGGAGACAGGTGGGAGAGGCACGTGTGGCCGGGGTGGTGGGGGAGTTGGCACCATCAGAGAGGGGAAGGTGTGTCGCAGGTGGAAGTGTAGAGCTTGGCAACGGGTGACGTCAGGAGAGGACTCAGTGGCAGGCTGGGGAAGCAGCTGCTCAAGAGCCATGTCACAGGGCAGGGAGGATCTGGAGGCTTTCTTGCAGTTGCCTGTAATGATACAGTGCGAAGACACAAAGACCACGGAGTCCACGGAGTCCACGAGCTGTGCCGAGCCTAAGGCTCTCCAGCGGTCAGGAGCCTGGAGCTGGTAGAGGGTATCCTGGCAGAGCGAGGGCAGCTGTGGGTTCCTGGGAACGTGGTTCATCCTTGTTGCAGATGTCCGAGGAACATAGGAGTGTTATAAACTGGGATGAGTCCTTGCCTATTTCTGGCCTCATGGTGCTGAGGGAGCTCCTTTTTTGGACTTTGGGCTAGAGATAAGGTAACTTAGTTTATGCTCCCGTTGAGATCTGCTTCATGCCCAGAAAGCCTTTATTTCAGCAGGCGTAGGGCCATTTGGTGAAGATTTAGGCAGTTTTTAGAAATTAACTTGGTCCAATGTCTAGAAATGCTTTGGGTTTTGCTAGTAAGTATTGTAACCTCCTTCCTCCTCCAAAAATCAGGGCTTGTCAGGTAGACTTTTTTTTGAAGATCTATCCATTCTTATTTGAAAGACAGAATGAGAGAGAGAGAGAGAGAGATCTTCCATCCACTGGTTCACGCCCCAAATGGCTGTGATGGTTGGAGCTGAGTGATCTGAAGTCAGGAGCCGGGAGCTTCCTGCAGGACTCCCACATGGGTGCAGAGGACCAAGGACCCAAGTAACCCTTCACCGCTTTCCCAGACTGTAATAGGAGCTGGATCAGAAGTCGAGCAGCTGGGTTAGAACCAGTGTCCATATGGGTTGCTGGCACTGCAGGGGGAGGCTTAACCTGCGGAACCTCAACATTGGCTCTGAGACTACTTTTTGACACTCTCAGAGTTAACTGCCAATTTTGCCTCACCGTCAAATTCTTTGGCCAGGGAAGATCACCTTGCTCTCTTCCAAGTGATCCAAGCTTTTGCCACATACACGAGCACCTGTTGTATGAGAGTCCAGCAGCGGACGAGGCACTTGCGTTCTGAGGCTGGTCTTAGCATGCTGCACGGGAGGCCTGCATCTTGTAATGCAGTGCCTGCCTCAGGTTCCCACCCTACTTTGAATCCAGCTTCCTGCTGACACGCATGCAGGGGGCAGCAGGTGCTGCCTTGGGTCCCTGCCATCCACGTGGGGGACCCAGATGAGGCGTGAGGCTCCTGACACAGCCCTAGCTGCCATGAATATGTGAGGAGTGAACCAGCATATGGAAGATCTCTCTGTATATCTTTGCCTTTGAAATAAATAAATAGGACCCAGAGCAGTAGCCTAGTGGCTAAAGTCCTTGTTTTGCACATGCTGAGATCCCATATGGGCACAAGTTCTAATTGTAGCAGCCCCGCTTCCCATCCAGCTCCCTGCCTGTGGCCTGGGAAAGCAGTCGAGGATGGCCCAAAGCCTTGGGACCCGGTAGGTGCATGGGAGACCCAGAAGAGGCTCCTGGCTCCTGGATATGGATTGGTTCAGCACCAGCTGTTGTGGCCACTTGGGGAGTGAATAAACAGACAGAAGACGTTTCTCTCTGTCTCCTCCTCTTCTCTATGTATCTGACTTTCCAATAAAAATAAATATTTGGAAAAATAAATAAAATAAAGCTTAATAAAAAAAGACTTTCCTTGTGGTATATGGATTGGGCTTTGTGGCACAGTAGGGTGAGTCACTGGGAGGTCCACATTCCATGTCGGAGTGCTTGGGATTGAGATCTGTTTCCAGTCCAGCTTCCTGCTAATGTAAGCCCTGGGAGGCAGCAGGCGCTGGTCCGACTACCATGTGGGGGCGCTGCTCTGAATGCCGGTTCCTGGCTGGGACCTGGACCAGCCTTGGTCGTTGCTAACGTTTGAAGAGTGAGCAGTGGATGAAAGATCTGTCTCTGTCTCTGTTTTATTTCTCTAAGCCTTTTAAATGAATAAATGGATAAATGCATACATAAAATGTAAACATGTACACTTCTGGTTTGTGGTCAGGTATGTAGCCTGGCAGTCAAGCTGCTCTTTAGGAATCCTGAGTCTCGTGTTGGAGTGGTTTTCATGTCAGAGTGCCTGGGTCTCGTGTTGGAGTTCCTGGGACTCATGTTAGAGTGGGTTTTGTGTTGGAGTGGGTTTTGTGTTGGAGTTCCTGGTTCTTGTGTTGGAGTGGGTCTCGTGTCAGAGTGCCTGGGTCTCGTGTTGGAGTGGGCTTCATGTCAGAGTGCCTGGGTCTCGTGTTGGAGTGGGTCTCGTGTCGGAGTGGGCTTCGTGTCAGAGTGGGCTTCGTGTCAGAGTGCCTGGGTCTCGTGTTGGAGTTCCTGGGACTCATGTTAGAGTGGGTTTTGTGTTGGAGTGGGTCTCATGTTGGAGTTCCCGGGTCTTGTGTTGGAGTGGTTTTCGTGTCAGTGCCTGGGTCTCGTGTCGGAGTTCCTGGGTCTGTCCCCACTCTGGCTCCTGACTCCAGCTTCTTGCTAATGCAGACCTGGGGAGGCAGCATTGACGACGTAGAGTTGGGTTCCTGCCACCCATGGGAGATACCTGGATGGAGTTCACAGCCTCGTCCCTGGCATTGCAGGCATTTGAGGTGTGGACCAGAGGGCAGGACACACTCTGCCTCTCAGATGAAACTTAGTCCAGTGAGAGTCATAAAAAAAAATAAGCAAGTTGATAAGTGAACAGTATACTTTCTGTCCTTATATAAAAGGCATTAATCAGATATGAAAAAGGAAGGTCATTAGGTCAGGAAGGCAACTTTAGCTTTATAGTGAATGAAGATATTGCTAGCTCATGAAGTGGATAAGCCCCAAAATTATTGATGCTCAAGACAAGAGATCTGACTGCTGTGTGAAGGCCAATCAGCAGGTTCAAGAGGTGGCCCCTTTCCCCGAATTCAGGAACCCAGGGGCATAGGGCTTCTGTGGGGAGACAGAGAGCAGGATCTCCCATCCACTGGTTTACTCTCCAGATGGCAGCAAGCAGGAGCTGGGGGCTCAGGGAGGGTCTCCCATCAGGGTGTCATCGCAGCCTCCCACAGCCCACGTTGGCAGGGAGCTGGGTGAGGCACGGAGCCCAGGCACCCTGATGCAGCCATCCCAACCTGCACCTTCACCTCTAGGCCGAGTGCCTGCCGCCCTCTGCCGTCTTAACCTGTGGCCTCCACGGCCTCTCGAATGGCCAGCAGAGCTGAGAGGAGCTAAGCCTTCATCTGGGAAGCTGTGGGCCAGGTCTGGGGGAGGGCCCCACAGCTAATCCTGGGAACCTGTGAATTTTATCTGATTAATAGAAAAGGATCTTTGTAAATGTAATTAAGGTTCTTGGATGACATTACGCCATAGATGGAGCCTAAATGCCATTATGAGTGGCTTTTTAAAAATAAATATTTATTCAAAAGGCAGAATCACAGAAAGAGAGAGAGACAGAGAGAGATTTTCCATCTACTGGTTCACTTCCTGGCTGCAATGGCCAGGGCTGCGCCAGTCTGAAACCAGGAGCCAGAAGCTTTATCCAGGTCACCCATGTGAATGCAGGTGCCCAAGTCTTTGGGCTGTTTTCAGCTGCTTCTCCAGGCAAATTAGCAGGGAACTGAATTGGAGGTAGAACATCAGGGACTCAAAACAGTGCCTGTATGGGCAGCTTTATTTGTTATGCCACAGTGCCATTCCCAACTAATGTTCTTTTTTTTTTTTTAAGATTTATTTATTTATTGGAAAGTCAGATATACAGAGAGGAGGAGAGACAGAGAGGAAGATCTTCCGTCTGATGAGTCACTCCCCAAGTGAGCACAACGGCCAATGCTATGCAGGATCCAGGAATTTCTTCTGGGTCTCCCACGCAGGTGCAGGGTCCCAAAGCTTTGGGCCATCCTTGACTGCTTTCCCAGGCCACAAGCAGGGAGCTGGATGGGAAGTGGAGCTGTCGGGATTAGAACTACCGCCCATATGGGATCCCGGTGTGTTCAAGGCGAGGACTTTAGCTGCTAGGCCATGCTGCCGGGCCCAACTAATGTTCTTTTATGAAGGAATTGCTTTTTTCGGTACCGTGCTGCTCTTCTGTTGGCCTTCAGCGGATGCATATGTTGGAGATTTTCCGAGTATCTGTTGGGATGGCGGCTATGCTAAGCCCTTGGAGAGCATAGACAGTAAGACCGCCTCTGCCTGTGGGAAGCACGCTGGTCAGGGCAGGCTTGCATTGCTTCGCTGCTATCTCCAGGAGCCTGGTCAGACTCAGGTGGGAGGCGGGGGTTAATACTCAGCTGACATCCAGTTACCTGCCTTCACGTTGTCAAACCTGCCTTCTCAGCTTCCCGGGGAGCTCCACTTGGGACCACCGGCTACCAGCTTGGCCCCATCAGGATTTATATCATCGCTCGAGATGAGAGTGTGTACCCTCCACAGACGCCTGGCCAAGGTAAGGGATGCTGCGGTGCTTCTGTCTCGAGGATGGGCTCATCGCAGCCTCCGTTCCAGCTCTGTTGCACAAGCGGCCGCAGCCGTGGGGCCTGGGTAACAGTCAGGTCTCTGGCTGCATTTCCGGCCTCAAAGCGAGTTGCCGGGTCAGCAGGTGATTGGGCTCTACATTCAGACTTACGCTGAAATTTAAAAAAAAAATTAATTTTATTTATTTGAAAGGCAGGGTTACAGGGCCTGGTGTGATAGGCTAGTGACTAAATCCTCACCTTGCATGCGCTCAGATCCCATATGGGCACTGGTTCATGTCCTGGCAGCTCTGCTTCCCACCCAGCTCCCTGCTTGTGGCCTGGAGAAGCAGTCGAGGACGGCCCAAGGCTTTGGGACCCTGCCAAGTGTGGCTGAGCAACCTTGTGTGTGCGTGGAGGGTATGAAACAATCTGTTTATCTATTCACTCTTGATGGACATTTGGCTGGCTTTCAACTTTTGCCTATTATGAGTAATAGCTGTTACATGGAGTTGTATGTAAGATTCTGTGGGAAATGCAGTTTTAATTTCTTTGGGGTAATTCTACCCAGGAGTAGAATCAGTTAGGTGGTAACTGCACATGTCCTTCGTTAATGTTTTATGTATTTGAAAGGCAGGGTGACAGAAAGACAGACAGATGAATCTTCTCTCCTCTGGTTTACTTCTCAAAAAGATGAAATGGCCAGGACTGCGCCAGGCCAAAGCCAGGAGCCTGGAGCTCCTATGGGAAGTGGTCTTCCATCTGCTGGTTCTCTCTCCAAATGGCCACATAGCTGGAGCTGAGCCAATGGGAAGTGGCCTTCCATCTGCTGGTTCTCTCTCCAAATGGCCACATAGCTGGAGCTGAGCCAATGGGAAGTGGCCTTCCATCTGCTGGTTCTCTCTCCAAATGGCCACAATAACTGGAGCTGAGCCAATGGGAAGTGGCCTTCCATCTGCTGGTTCTCTCTCCAAATGGCCACAATAACTGGAGCTGAGCCAATGGGAAGTGGCCTTCCATCTGCTGGTTCTCTCTCCAAATGGCCACATAGCTGGAGCTGAGCCAATGGGAAGTGGCCTTCCATCTGCTGGTTCTCTCCAAATGGCCACAATAGCTGGAGCTGAGCCAATGGGAAGTGGCCTTCCATCTGCTGGTTCTCTCTCCAAATGGCCACAATAACTGGAGCTGAGACATTGGAAAATGGAGCAGCCAGTACACAAACCAGTGCCCATATGGGATCCTACCTCTTGTAAGGAGAGGATTAGTCAGTTGAGCCATTGTGCCAGGCTCCCTCAATAGCTTTCTAGAATTAGACTCTTAACTTGATCTTAGCCAAAAGGCCGAGAAGCAATTTCTAGAATTAGACTTAAATAAAAATGACTGGAGCCAGAGTGGTGGTGCAGTGTGTTAAGCTGCTTAGCCTGTTCTTCCAGGACACTCACCCCCAATGATTTTTTTTTTTAATAAAGTTGGTGATGGGGAGATGACATCATGGTGCAGTGTTTGAGCCACCACCTTCAGAGCCAACATTCTGATTTGAGTCCCAGCTGGCTCTACTTCTGATCCAGCTCACTGCTAATGTGCCTGGGAAGGCGGTGGAGGCCAGGATACAGCCAGGGGGAGTTCTGGGCTCCTAGCTTCAGCCTGCCCAGCCCTGATCATTGCAGCGTTTTGGGGAGTGACCCGGTAGGTTGGAAGATCTTGTTCTTCCTCTTTCTCTCTGTCATTCTGCCTTCCAAATAGATAAAATACAACAATTGCAGTGGCTGGGCTGGGCTGAACAGGAGTCAGGAGCTAGGAACTCCATCTGGATCTCACGTGGGTGCAGGGGCCCAAATGCTGGGACCATCTCTGCTTTCCGAGGCGCGTTCATCGGGAACTGGATTTGAAGCAGAGCAAATGGGACTCAGACCAGTTCCCACGTGTGACACCAGCATTGCAGGCCGTAGCTAACCCACTAATACAATGCTGGTCCCTAAAAGAAAATCTTCATGTGCAATTTTATTAATTTAAAAAGCCATATCTGGGTGTTAGATTTTGTCAACTGCTCTGTCATACTAATGTGGCCAGACAGTCTTTTTTCTTTAGCCTGCTGTGATGGATTATCTGAACCTTCACATGTCTGCCTGGAATAAGCCATGTTTGGCCATTGTGTGTAATTCTATATACGTTTGGATTTGATTTGCTCACATTGAAAGGATATTTACAACTATGTTCCTGAAAGATGTTCTAACTTTTTCTTCCTTGCAACATCTTGCTTTGCGTTTGCTGTCAGAGTATTTTTGGCTTCAGAGAACGAGTTAGGAGGTGCTGCTCCTGCTTCTCCTATCTGGGAGATTTCAGAAAATTGAGACCATTTCCTCATTAAGTGGCTGATCAACTCAGCCTTGACCCATTTGGGCCTGGTGCTTTGTGTTCTAGAAGCTCCTAACAGTTAATTAAATTTACCTAACAAGTATAGGGATATTGAGAAAATCTGATTCCTGTAGGTTAATTTAGCATTTTGAACTGAAGACTCAGCCCGTTTCAGTTAAGTAACCAAATCTGTGAACAGAGGATAGATTGTTCATAATATTCTTTTGCTACCCCTTTAAAATTTTTTAAGATTTACTTATTTTTATTGGAAAGGCAGATTAGATTTTACAGAGAGGAGACACAGAGAAAAATCTTGCATCCACTGATTCACTTCCCAAATGACTGCAATGGCTAGAACTCAGCTGAACGGAAGCCAGGAGTCAAGAGCCTCTATTGGGTCTCCCAAATCATGCAGAGCCCTAAGACTTTGGGCTGTCCTCTATTGCTTTACCAGGCAAGTAGGGAGCTGGATGGGAAGTGGAGCAGTTAGGACACGAACTGGCTAAACCTAGAATTTGCAAGGCGAGAATTTAAACATTGAACCACCATGCCTTAAAAATGTTTTTGTGGGGCCCGGCGCGGTGGCGCAAGTGGTTAAAGGTCCTCGCCTTGCACGCCCGGGATCCCATATGGGCGCCGGCTCTAATCCCGGCAGCCCCGCTTCCCTTCCAGCTCCCTGCCTGTGGCCTGGGAAAGCAGTCGAGGAAGGCCCAAAGCTTTGGGAACCTGCACCCGCGTGGGAGACCCAGAAGAGGCTCCTGGCTGCGGATCGGCATAGTATCGGCCCGTTGCGCTCACTTGGGGAGTAAATCATCGGACGGAAGATCTTCCTCTCTGTCTCTCCTCTCTGTATATCCGCCTTTCCAATGAAAAAAATAATAAAAATAAATCTTTAAAAAAAAAAAAATGTTTTTGTGGGGCCCGGCTCAGTAGTCTAGTGGCTAAAGGCCAGTAGTCTAGTGGCCTTGCACATGCCAGGATTCCATATGGGCCCCAGTTCTAATCCTGGTTGCACAAGCAGGATCCCATATGGGCCCCAGTTCTAATCCTGGTTTTAGTCTTATTTCTGATCCAACTTCCTGCTCATGTGCCTGGGAAGGTAGCAGAGGATGGCCCAGGCGCTTTGGCCCCTACACCCACATGTGAGACCTGGGGGAGGTTCCTGGGTTCTGCCTAGCCAAGTCCCAGGTATCACAGGCAGTTGGGGAGTTAATGAATGAAAGATCTTCCCTCCCCCAACTCTGTAACTCTGCCTTTCAAATAAAATAAACCTTTTAAAAATTGTTTTATTGAGGCTGGTGCAATAGCCTATTGGTTAAATCCTCATGCTGGGATCCCATATGGGAGCTGGTTTGTGTTTTGGCTGCTCCACTTCCCATTCAGCTCTCTGCATGTAGCCTGGGAAGGCAGTAGAGGACAAGCCAAAGCCTTGGGACCCTGTATCCACTTGGGAGAACTGGAAGAAGCTCCTGGCTTCGGATCAGCTCAGCTCCAGCTGTTACAGCCACTTGGGGAGTGAACCAGTGGATGGAAGATCTGTCTCTCTACCTCTCCTTCTCTCTGTAAATCTGACTTTCTAATAAAAATAAGTAAGTCTTGTAGTTGTTTGTTGAAAGCTGGTATTGCACTGGGTTACAGAAACTGAGATAATTAGGAGTTAGATAATGTTTAATGTTTACCCTAGAGGTAATATTAGAAATCTCGACTTTGTTCTTTTTGCCTTTTACCCCTCACCTCCTTGTCTGTTGTCTCTTCGGCTTCTCCTAAGAACTTTTTAAAAAGTCATTTTATCTGAAATGCAGTGAGAGAAAGAAGGAGAGACATCTTTCATCCTCTGACTGATTCCTCAAATAGCTGCAACAGCTGGGACTGAACCAAGATGAAGCTGGGGGGCCAGGATTCACCTGAGCCTCCCCATGGGTGGCGGGGACTGCACCCATGGGCTACCTGGGGTACTCCACCCCTTGGGCTACCTTGCATTGGGCTCCCAGGTGCAATAGCAAGGAGCTGGGTCTGGAGCGGAGCAGCCAGGCCTCACACACGGGACAGCTGATGTCTCTCTTGGCTGTCATTGGCTTCAGGCTGGAATCTGCTCCCTCCCTCTCTGCACATTGCTGGGTGGTGGCCGACTTGGTGGTTTCAGTCATTTGTCAGAGCCAAAGGACAGTTGTTGATCGTCAACTTGTTCAGCCCTTTTCTTACTGTGAGAGTGGAAGTGATGCCTTCTAAGCCCTTAATCCAACCTGGGTATTTTATTTATTTATTTTACTTATTTGAAAGGCTCCCATCTTACTGTTCACTCTCCCCCAAACCCGCAACACCTGGTGCTGTGCCAAGAGCCTGAATTTCAACCCAGGTCTCTCCCGCTCCCACAAGGGCAGCAGGAAAGCAGTTCCCTGAAGTGGGAGCTGGAGGTGGGAGTGGAACCCGGTACTCTGCTCTGGGATGTGCACAGCTTGAGCCCTAGACTAACTGCCTGCGACCCTCCCTGGGCGTCTTAAATGGGAGGTGACCCACAATTAGGTCCTCGTGTTCATGTGGTTTGTTAAGAGAATAAATTGAATAAAGAAAATAGAAGTTACAGAAAAATAGTCTTAAAAGTGTCTGTTCACCTTGACCCAGCCAACAACTCACTCTGGAAAATAAAGCTCATGTTGATTGGACTATCCCCTGGGAAGTTGGCAGCATGCTCTCCGCCAACAAGAGATGTGGCATCTATCCCTCTGGTGAAATATCAGCCAGCTTTTTTAAAAAAGAAAAAGAAATATTATCCAGCTTTTAATTTGATATAAAGTAATAACATAAGGAAACATCTTATTAAGAAACCAGATTAAAAGTACATGGTTCATAGAAGATCACGATTATGTTTTTAAAAATGTCTGCAAGGAAGTATAACGAAACATTGTCTTTAATGATGGAGTTGTAGTTAACTTTTTCTTTGTATTCACCTTTTCTGTTTTCCAAATGCATATTCCTTCTGAATATCATCGCTGTATTTATAATCAGAGTTCACAACTCTTAGTGTACCCAAATATAATGTTTTCTTGTTCATTTGGATCCCTTACATTGATGGCTCAAGGAAAAGGCTTTAGTGTTACTCCGCCTGAATTCTCTTCTTGCCTCAGTTGGCCTCAGCACTTTCTTACTACTTGCCCACAACTGATTGATTCTCTTTCTGACATTGCCAGCAATGCACTGTGGAGCCCCACCTCCCGGATATGCTGCCCCGCCCCCAGGCTATGGAGCCCCGCCCCCTGGATATGCAGCTCCGCCTTCTGGATATGCACCCCTTCCTGCTGGATATGAAGTCCCGCCTCCTGGATATGCAGCTCCGCCTTCTGGATATGCACCCCTTCCTGCTGGATACACAGCCCCGCCTCCTGGATATGCACCCCTTCCTGCTGGATATGAAGTCCCACCTCCTGGATATGCACCCCTTCCTGCTGGATACACAGCCCCGCCTCCTGGATATGCACCCCTTCCTTCTGGATATGCAGTCCCGCCTCCTGAAAATGCAACCCCTCCTGCTGGATACGGAGGCCAGTCCTCCAGATTTGAAGCCCCGCCTGCGGGAGATGGAGCCTCACCAGGGGTGTCCGGAGCCACACACCCACTGGATCTGCAGATGGCGCCCCCAAACCTGGCAGCCCAGCGTCCTGACTAGCTGACTTCACTTCCATGTCGTTCGTTCTCTCAAGCTGTTCTCACCCTTGTAAGACGTTAAGGTTAATTCGCCCAGCGAGGTAGCACCGCACAGTGTTGGTCGGGTCTGCACACAGCCCCAGGGGCTCATCCCACCGCGTAGCAAGGTAAGCTTAGGGCAAAAGTGTAACTTTATTTCCCTGCGAGGTCTTAGGATCGCCTCGGCTGAACGGGCGGAAAGGAGAGTAGTTCTGGAGGGATCATTTGCCAGTTGTGGGGCTGGCTTTGCGCTGCCCTTCCGTCGTGCCTGGTTTGTGAGTCTGGAAAGTTCCCTGTTCTCAGGCGTTGCATTGCGAGGCACCAAGGTGTGTGCTGCTTCGCGTTACATTGACACGGAAAGCGTGGAACAACTTACACGTCCAGCAGCAAAGTCTGTACCTTGTGCTGTGACGTGTGTAATTGTGCACGGCCATTGAACACGAGATGCAGAGATGAAGGAAACTAAGGGCGAAGCAACAAAGGGAGGCGATCGAGGGATGGATTTGACTTCATGCAGTGTTTTAACTTTGTTATGGCGAAAGTGAAAAGATAGGCAACTGACTAGGACAAAGTTGTTTCTAACATAAATATTAAACAGTTTATCCGAATGTCAGAATACATGAGTTACAGCTCTACCTTCCACACTCCCCCCCCCCTAAAAAAAAAAGAAATGGACACCAAATAAAGAGTTGCCGTTACCCAGGAAATAGTGCAGTCAGAATACGTCTGAAAGGTGCTTGCCTTGATTAGCACTAGGGAAATGCAACTTGAAATGAGAAGCTATTTTATCTCAGCAGACCTACAAGGTTTAATATTCTTGATGTAGGCCTTTCTGTGTGGCAGGTTTGTGGGGGCCTGAAGAGGCAGGCGTACGGGGGGGTGAGGGGGCCTGAAGAGGCAGGTGTACAGGGGGGGTGGGGAGGCCTGGAGAGGCAGGCATACAGGGGGGCGAGGGGGCCTTGAGAGGCAGGCGGGTGTATGGGGAGGGGGCGAGGGGATGAGCCAGCGGGGTATGCGGGGACCTGGGGGCTCACATCCAGGTAAGTGGAGCAAGCCTGGTGATTTCCCCAAGTGCTTGGTCCTGGATGAGGTATGGGAGAATCCTAGGTTAGAATGTTGGCCTGGGGTGCTGGTGGACAGGCTTGGGGAACTTTGAATGGGTCTGGATCTTGGGGTGTGTGGAGGGGTAAGGTCCCAGGCCAGCACATGTGCCTGGAGTTTGGGCCCCTAGTGGGCAGGCAGAGCTGCAGCCCAGCACACTACCCACTGGAAGTCTGGGTCTTGGACGGCTGGGCTTCAAAGCCTGTGCACTCCTGGGCACAGGGTCTGTGGATTGATCAGAGAAAGGGGCAAGGCAATGTGTGGGAGGGAAAAATGTTGGGGGAGTATGTTGCAGGTGAGGGAAGGCTTCCGAGGGACCTCCACGGACAAGGCCAGTGTATGCGCAGGTAAGCAGGGGTGCTGAGGTGGAGTAGTTTGGAGGAGGGAGGCTGGAGGACCTTTATGGGTGAGACCAATGCACCAGCCCTAGCTGGGCTAGTCAGCAGGGTGCACCGCCGACCACCACTCACTCATGCATAGTAAGGCTACCTGGCAGGGCGAGATCACTGTACCCTTCAGTGAGAGTGGAACAGGGGACGGGTAATGTTAGATTGGGCTATGATACTGACCAGCACGCAAGAGAACTGGGTCGGGGAGAAGATTCCAGGGGCATGTGAGTTCACCCCTGTGAAGCTGCGGTTTACATTGGTTTGCTCAAGAGCTGGGGGTAGTGATGGGCTGGCTGAGCTAGGCATGACCACGGAACCCTCCACACTCATGGGTGCTGAGACTGGGGATGGGTCAGGCTGGTTTAGGTTGCAGTACCTGTGAGTGCACCCAAGAAGAGGGTGTGAGGTGGGCCAGGCCACAGTATTCACCAGCTCACACAAAGGCCAAGACCAAGGGGGTAGACCATGCCAGGTAAGGACCTAACACCCTCCAGCACATATGAGATCTGGGTCTGGGGACGGGGGGACTTGGGAAACTCCCCTGGTGGGCTGTAGCTTCCATGCATGTGTATGTGATCAGGCTTGAGTGTTGGTCAAGCTGGGCATCGTAACTCTACCCATTGGCAAGTGTGTAGGTTGGTTCTGGACGGGGACAGAGTGGACAGGGCTAGGCCAGACCTTAGCCCACTGGCAAGTACAGGAGCAAGGCTGGAGTGTGGGACATGCTGAGCTAAGCTATTATATCTACTGGTTCGCATGAGCCAGGGATGGGAGCAGACTGTGCAGGGCTAGGTTACAGCACCTGCCAGTGAGAGTTGGGACTGGGGATGGACTGGGCCAGACCAGGCTTCAGCATCTGATAGCAAAAGCCAAGATGGGAAGGGGTCATTCCAAGCTGGGTCAGAGCAACCACTGGCATGCAGATCTGTGGCTTGGAACAGGTCTGGTTGGGGAGGTAGGGTGACACCCTGACTGGGTTGTGTTTCCCTTTGGTGAGCATGAGAACTGGAATAGGGGCAGCAATCTGGGCTGGATTTGACTGCAGTGTCCCTTGGCATAGATGTGGACTGGGTCAGGGGTGTGCCAGACTGGACTAGACCCCAGTACCACTAGTATTTGTGAGAGCCAGGATGGGTGTAGCATAACATGCTGGGCTAGGTCTTAGCACCTGCTGGATCACGTAAGAGCTGTGCCTGTGCATGGACCATGTGTGGCTGGGCTGTAGCACCAAGCAGTGAGAACCAGAATGGGTGAAGGCCAACCTTGCCAGAACAGGAGGTGGACTAAGTAGGTCTGGACCAAGGACCCACCAGTGTGCACGAGATCTGCCACTGGGGGGAGACCTGATAGAGGAACTTGGGGAACTCCTTTGTCAGGTTGCAGTCCCTACAGGTGAGTGCAAATATCTAGGCTGGGAGTAGCCCAGACCAGGCCAGGTTATGGTACCTGCTGGCATAGATGTGGGCCAGGTCTGGGGGCGGGCCAGGCTAAGCCAGTCCATAACACCCACAGACAGATCTGAGAGCCAGGACAGTGTTGCAAGACAGGTTGGGTTAGGCTGCAGCACCACCAGTCCACATTAGGGCCAGGACTAGAGGCTGGCTGGGCTAGGCTGGGTGGCTTTATCTGCCAGCATGAGCTGGAACTGGAAGCAGACTGGGCTGTGCCAGGCTACAGCATCCCCTGGCAAATGCTGAAGTGAGGCAGGCCATGCCATACTGGACTGTAGCTCCCATCAGCGCATGTGAAACCTGGTGTGTGTGTCGGGGGGAGGGTTGTGGTAGTGCAAGTCCAGTAGAGGAATTGCAGGGGGCTCCTGCTGGACTGCTGCTCCTGCTGGTGAATGTGAGAGCTGGGACTGGGGACAGACCAAGCTGGGCAGGCCTACAACACCTGTTGGCCTGCATGTGAATTGAGTTAGGGGGATAGCCAGGCTGGGATAACTGACTGTACCCACTGGTGTACGCATGAGCCAGAGTAAGGGCAGGCTGGTTGGGCCTTGCCGCAGCATCAGCTGGCAAGTGCTGGGACTAGGGGCAAACCCTATCAAGCCAGCCTGCAGAACCACCTGGACAGTGCAAGATCCGGGGTAGGGAGTGGGTCCAGTAGGGAAATTGTGGGCACCTCTCTGATGGGCTGCAGTTCTCACTGGTGAGCATGGCTAGACAGGTGGTAGCAACTGTGGCATGAATGTGGGCCGGATGGTGGAGTCAGTTTGGTGAGTTAGGCTTTAATGCCCATTGATGTGTATGAGAGCTGAATGGGATATGGGACAGACTGGACCAGTCTGCTGTATGTACTGGCAAGTACAGGAACCATGGTTGGGGTGCTGGCATGCTGGGAGTTATTGGGGGTTGCTTTGACTAGGCTGAAACTCCTACTAGTGTGTGTGTGTGTGTGCTGAGTGTGAGGTGGGCAGGGTTGGGCTGGGCCACAGCACCCAATGGTTTGAGTAAGAGATGGGGTGGGAGATAGATCTGGCCTACCAATTGCAACTACCCGCATGTGTGTAAGCTGATGTGGGTGATAGAATGAGCCGTACCCTGTACAGGCAGGTGTGTGCAAGAGTCAGGTCTGGCATCATCTCAGATGAGATCTTTTTGAGGATCCCTCTGGCTAGACCGCTGGATTCAAAACTCCAACAATGGGGACAGTAGCAGGCCCTGTGGTCTGACTGTGGAGTGCATGCATCAGAACTGGGCCTCCTCAGTGGCTAAAGATAGAGCAGTGGATGACATGCCCAGATGCAAGTGGGGTCTGTAGAGGACATCTGGTACCATAGTATGACAGACTGCTAAGTGGCATCCCTGGATGACCTCTGCGTGACAGAGGCTGAGCTGGAAGACCATGAGGCAGACTGCAGTTGAGGTCTGTCAGGCCATAGGGTGGTGCCACTTGCACTGCTTGCCTCAAGTGATCAAAACACACACACACACACACACACACACACACACACACACACACACACGGAAGGAAAGTACAAATTGGTCAACTACCCCAGCCAAGCATTGACAGCAAATACCTGGGTGAATGGAGACTTTGGGGTAGACCGTGCCAGCAGATGAGTCCTGCAAGGATTTCCTCATCCTTGGATCGGTGAGGTGGACAGCATTCCAGAACTATGGAAAGCACTTGAGCGAATCCTCAGATCATGCTCCACAATGGGAACCCTGGGGTGACATCGGGTGGCTGTTCCCCATCCCCAAGAATAGGGGCAGTCGGGCAGGTGGATGCAGCTTCCCCCCAATCTCTCCCGCTCCCCCAAATCCAAGAGGAAGAAAGGGAAAAGTTGGCAACAGTGGTCTCACCCACTTTCCCCACATCCTCATCCTGCCTACCCTGGTCAACTATGTAAACATCAGCAAAAATACTCCTGATAGAGCAGCAGCGTATCTGCGAATGACTTGGCATATGTATGTACATGAAGATGCACTTGGGAAGAGCTCACCCCTTGTTACAGGGGGCTGCCTTGTGTCTTCCAAGAGTGTCCAGCATCTTTGACCTCCCACCCAGCATCTGCCAGTAGTGGACTCTAATTGTGATAGCCCCAAATGCCCACTTATTTCTTAGCAGTGCCATCCTGGCTGAGAACCACTCTGGATTCTTCCATTCTCCCACTCTAACCAACTTCTTAAGTTCTTTGGCCTTTCCTTGTGTTCTTGTAGACTCATTAAGCCATCTAAAAATGAGAGCTTAAAAGTTCTATGTCAAGTATTTTTTTTTAATTTTTTTTTTATTGGAAAGGCGGATATACAGAGAGGAGAGACAGAGAGGAACATCTTCCGTCCGATGATTCACTCCCCAAGTGAGTGAACGGCAACGGCCGATACTATGCTGATCCGAAGCCAGGAGCCTCTTCCGGGTCTCCCACGCGGGTGCAGGGTCCCAAAGCTTTGGGCTGTCCTCAACTGCTTTCCCAGGCCACAGGCAGGGAGCTGGATGGGAAGCAGGGCTGCCGGGATCCCATATGGGATCCCGGGCGTGCAAGGCGAGGACCTTAACCACTTGCGCCACCGCGGTGGGCCCAATGTCAAGTATTTTTTTGACAGAATATATAACAAAGGGTTATTGGATCCACAAGATATTTAGGCTAACACTTTTAGGCATACTTGGTGCGTAGCTGAAACTATTATTCATCTATATAGTGCTTCACCTGACGTATATTTCGAAGCACTCCCAAACACTGTTTGTGGCTACATAATATTCTATGGCTTCCTTCTGTAGCTGTACTGTAAACCTGGCTTTGGCCAGGCCTGGCACCAACTCTTTGCAGGTGACCCAGAGGGTGGAAGGTCTCTGCCTCTCCCTCTTTGTAATTCAAATAAATGGTTAAAGAGGAGCTCCTTGTGTTGTCTCCCAGGAGTCTCACCATTTCAAGCTGTTAACACACTGTGAGTTGGTTCTGGCATGTGATATGGGAGCAGAACGGCTCGTTTCTATGGGAAAGGTGGTTCTGATTGTATGTGGCAGGGTTCTCGTGGCTTTGAGGGAAGGGACACACTCCTGGCAGTTTGGAGAGGAAATACTAGCTGGTTGCTGGTGCTGTGTTAAAGCTAAGTTATAGGAAGGCGCGTTGTCCTGTTTTATTGTTATGTTTGAACATTCCTACAGGGGTGTCCCTGTCTCCAGACAAGATTGCCTTGGATCAGGAAGAAAACAAACGAGTTCCTAACTGGCTCCCGATGGAAGAGCCTAAAGCAACATCCTAGGAGAGAGGCAGTGTGTGTGTGCTGAGGGAATGAGCAGGAGGGACAGAAGCCATTGGGCATCCCCAGGATAAAAAGACAAGTTCCATAGTCAGCAAGGACATGTGGCCACCTCCAGGTCTCAAACAGGGAACTCCCAGTCAATTCCAGTACTTGTCCCAACTTCCAAGGCCGTGGTCTCAACTCCTGTGCGCTGCTGCACCCTGCAGCCCATTCCATTCTGCCTCAGTAGCACCCCGAGCAGGATCCAAGGCTGCAAGCATACACAGGAGGCCAAGCCTGCAAGGATGGAGGCTTGGGCCGAGGCGGGCGCTCCTGGACCAACTCCACAACCTCCACTCACCAGCTGGGTCAGGGAGCTTTCTCCTGTGGCTAGGTTCCCAGACGCTGTGACTTGGTGACTAAATAGGCAAAGCTTAATCAAACAAATGTCATAAAATGTGCAATTACAAGTTCTTTCCACCAAACTACATACAAGGACCTCAGAACCCAGTGGGGGTTGGGAGGAGAGGTTATGGGGAATTCAACTCAGAAAGCCATACCCTAGGCTAGGGCAGGGAAAAAGGCCTGGGGTGCCTAGCAGCCCACCCTGGAAGCACCTGGCTGGCTTGCTGGGCCAGCGGCTTCCCAATGGGAGAGAGAGCCCTCAGGGAACTAAAGGAGGATGGCGTGGTGGACAGGAGTTAGAGAAGCAGCCAAGGACCTGGTACCCCTGCTACTGCTTTTTCTCAGGAGGAGCAGCAGCAGGAAACAGATTTTTAAGACCCAGACACCCCTGCACTTGGTTGTGGACTGTAGCCAGGCTGGGAGGGAAATAATACAGGAACAAAGGTTGAGAAGCAGGGGTGGGGCCCCCAGTGAGGACAGAGGGCGTAGGTGCTGCTGGGGAGACACAGTGCTGCCCCAGCCCAGGGTGTCAGCTCCTGCATCCAGAGCAGAGAGGGCCCCTTGGTGCAAGGCTACCCACTTCTAGCAAGTACCATGTTCAGGTCGCTTTGAAGGACGAGGAAGTCACGCGCATTTTCCACGAGAGCAGATATGGGCAAGCTGAGACCCAGGCAGAATCACCGAGTGGCCTCAGCTAAGCAGCCGTGGCCCCAGCTCTGCACTACAGGCACTTGACTAAACAGCAACTTTATTGGCGAGCTGAGGGAGCCAGTCTCGTCCTGCCCCTCCCTCACAGCGGTTCCGGCCTGCACGGCCTTCTCCAGGCAGGAGAGCCAGTCACACAATCCAAGAGGCCAGAGCGCGACTCCTAATCACAAAGATTCCGAATCCTGATTCTGAGGCTAGAGTCCTGACGAGCATCCGCGCCCCTGCACGCCGGGGCTCAGGAGGCCAGCCGAGCGCTCAGCAACATCCGCGGGGCTGTGGAACTGAGGTGGAGGCGAGGAGGCCGCAGGAAATCACCCCAAGAGAAGTGTCTGAGAGGGCCTGGGAACTGGCGTCGAGATGGCACTTTGGGTTTGGTGTGGTCATGTGGATGAGCGGGCCCGAGGCAGCAGAGCCCTGCCCACCTGCCCTCAGCATGCCGTGGCTCCAGGGTCTGGGCTCTGGGGCGGCCACAGCCTGTCACATGGCCCAGCCCTTCACGACTGAGATATCTCTATGCTCTTGATGGGATACAGGTACCACATCACGACCCCTGAAGGGTTGATGATCACTGTGAAGTTGGTTTCATCCCGGAGGCCGCTGATGACGTCACCTGAGAACACATCCTGGGCCTGTGGTGGGCGGGGAGGGATGTTACCCAGGCCTGCAACTGTCCACCCAGCACGCCCTCTGCAAGTGGGGACCCTACTCCCCCGCCACCCCTGCACGGGCAAAAGGAACAGAAGCCTCGACAGATGGAGAAGCTCGAGGAACATGCTAGCACAGGCTGGCCGACTAGGGGAGCAGCATGGCTTTGGAGTTCCAGGGACTCATTTCTGTAGCCAGTGTGGTCGGCACAGCCTCAGCACACAGAAGCAGCAGACAGCTCCAGCCCTCCAGTGCCACAGGCACCTGCCGGAGGCCCCAAGGCTCTTGGCTCTGGAGACCACAGATAAGCAAGGAGCAGTTCCTGGAAGAAGCCAAAGCGCTCACCTCGTAGACCTTGGAGCCGGTGTAGTTCAGCTGCGACAGGGAGGAGTGGTAGCGGTAAGGCATGTCCGTCCTGCGGCTGAAGAAGACCAGGGCACTGGCCTCCCCAGACAGCGGCCGCTTGAACACTTCAATGTGAGATTTTTCCTGGGCACACAAGGTGGCTACTGGCGGGGGTCCCTTGCTCAGGTCCCCGTTCTGGCTCTCCTGAGCTTTGAGTTCCTCCAGCCCACAGCTGCTGCCCACACTGAGGTTTGGGCAGAAAGCCACAGCCCTACAGGCCTCCGCTGCCCTAACACCCCGTCCTTCCCTGACTCTGCAGGTGCTCACTGCCGCCTTCTTGGGGACTGGCCCCCTGCCATGACCCAGGGCCTGCCTCTTGAGCTCAGAGGACAACGGAGGGACACACACACCGAACGACGGCACGGCATGTGTGTGAGAGCTGACCCCTGCAGCTGCCGCCACTGGCGTGGAGGGCACTGTCCAGAGGACAAGAGGATGCTGCTCCGGAGGCTACACAGTGAGGCTGGCCGCCTAGGTTTCTCAGGCTGACTCGCTGTCGGCTCCTCCTCTAGGCATCACGGGTTCTATAGGTGCCTTCTTATTTCTGTAGATTTTTGTGCTCCAGAGTTGGGGACTTATGTTAACAGTAAGGGTTTTGGGGTAAGCTGCCAGGCTCCAGCAAGTCCCCCTTGGTACCTGACGGTGTGACCTTGGGGCAGTTACCAGAACTTCCAAAGTTTCCCTTCCCCTCATATGCAGAATGGGGAACGAGAGCCTGCCTTGCTGAGAAACTGCAACCTAGGAAGCTTGGCACCCAGTAGGTGCCTGGCAGATACCAGCAGCAGTAGCAGTACTGGCTAAATCTCGAGAGGGAAGCCCTCGTTTTCTGCAGCTCTGCACCTTGGCGTCCCCTCTGCACTTGCATGTAGCACCCTCCTCCCCACCCCCACGCCGTGCTGCTGGCCCAGCTCTCACGCTGGCCAGGCGAAGGGTCGTCAGCTACGCATCCCCAGGAGGGGTGGCCCCGGGGCAGCTGAGTCAACATCAGACCCAACCCTTCTCTTTCCCACTCGCTGTCACCCCAAGTACCTTAAGAATCCTGCGTCCCTGGATACCCAAGGGATCCTGGTTGATTTTGATCATGAGTGGATTCTGCAGGATGTCCATGTTCTGGGGTGAGATGGTACGCAGGTCTGTGGACATGAAGAGGGGGGCTGCCAGTATCGTCCACAAGGCCATTTGGGACCGGGCTTGCTCGAAGCTGAGTCCAAAGTTCCCTATGAGCAGCTGGGAGCAGAGAAGAGGAGCGGTCAGTCCTGACCTTTCCAGGAAGGTGTGCACTGGAGCCAACCCCAAACTTACAGTCATGGCAAGAACAGCCAGGAAATGGGAGGAATGATGGCTTCGTGTGTGAGGGACTGGCTCGGCAGGGCCACGTGGCTGCAGGGCCACGCCTGTCATTTCCCACCTGAATATCAGCTTTTCCCCCAGCAGCAACGTGGCCCTAAGTGTTGTGGTCGTAGCACATAATCAAATGACAAGTGGATGCATTAGCACATGCAAGTCAAGAGCACCCCAGGCAGCAGTGCAGGCAACCTGGGCACGGCTCCCGTACCTGCCACTAGTCGCCTACCTGCTGGATGAACCAAGGCAGACACGTGACCTGAGGCCAACCAAGCCACAGCCAGGCATACTCACTGCTAACGCACAACGGTGTCTAGTGTCGGCCATTTAACTAAGGGTTACATGATACACCCCGGTTGGTCACTGGGCCCGAGGAAACTAGGTGCAGATAGAAAATATGAAGGCAAGTGGAAAGCTCTGCAGCTGGGACATGCAGAACTGCGAGTCAGTCATTGCAGAAGTCACCCAGGAGCCCTTCTGCACACCCTACCGCCTTATCAGGGTCCAGGTGGCCCTGCTCCTCGTCCAACAAGCAGCTGAAGAAAGGACCCTGCCTGCTGCCCAGGTGCCCTCTGTTTGGGCAGGCTCAACCCCTCACCTTTTCCCTCTCTATTCTGTCCCCCAGAAAGTCTTCTCTCCTTTAACTAGCCACCTTCTAAAATCCTAAAACCTACCACAGCACTGGGCCTGTGCCAGACCCTGTGCCAAGTGCTTTAGAGGTGGCTACCACGGTCCTTCTCAGTTTTTCAATCAAAAAGCTAAGGTCCAGAAAAACAAAACAAAACAAGTCACCTGCCCAAGGCAAGCGGCAGAGCAGCAGCCAGTGCCCGAGGGGGCCCATTCCTGCCCTCCAGGCTGCCCTCTCCGCCTGGCTTAACGTTTGCAATTACTGTAAGCATCGCCAGCAATAAATCCTTGTTAACTGGAAGAACAGAGACCTATAAAACTAAGAGAATGGGAGGAGAGCAATGCACTGGCACCGTGGGTGGGCTGCACAGAAAGGCAGGAGGCAGAGGAAGGTTGCAGGGCCAGGCAGGGCAGGGATCTGCCAAGGACAGTGAGCACAGGGCACTGAGCAGGAACCAACGGCGAATGGGACACCTAGAGGGACAGAGAGAGCAGGTGTCATCGCAATCTACCCTGCAGACCAACAGCCTCTCAAGTCAGCGCCGGCCACTGTGGAGGAAACACCAGAACTGCTGGGAGAGCTGGTCAACAGTGGGCATTCCCAGGCCCCCCAGCCCTGAACATTCTGATGCAAAAGGAGGGGGTGGGTCCCCGGAATGCACCAGGGAACCAGCATCTGGGGCTAGTCTGGAGCAGCTGACGCAGGGGTGCATTTTAGAACTGCTGACCTAGGACCTGGCAGTGTGCGTCCGGGAAGGAAGTGAGCCCCGGGCTGTGGGGAGCGGTACCATGTCTGGGTCGTTCCAGCTCCCAGGGCCAGCCACTGGCTGCAGGACGTCCTGGTGCTTCACAAACCAGTCCACGATGGACAGCACACTTTTCCAGGAGTCCTGGATGTCGTCGTAGTTGCGCCAGAGGTTGCAGATGTCAGCCAGAAGGCTGTAGTTCACCTGCGTGTCGGGAGGGCAGTGCTCAGGACGGACCAAAGGCACGCGCTTTGCCCAGGACCCCACCCTGCCCTGCACGGGAGACAGGAGGTGGGAGGGGCGACGGCAGTGAGCTGGCCGTCTGTTCAGGAGGATGAAGGCTGTGGGATCGCCCAGCTCCATCCCAAGGTCTGCCCACTCCACCCTCTCATTCCAGCTGAGGTCAAGCCCAAAGTATGGGCCAGGGCTGACACACCTGCTACCCTCTCAGTGACTGCCACTGCTGGCCAGCCTTCTCCTTCAGGTCTCTCCTGTGTCCAGTGTCATGAGCGGCCCCTGGCAAGGTGCCCCCAGCTCCTTCTGAGGCCTGCCCCATCACAGCCTGACCTCACTAGCCTCGTGGCTCTCCTGGACCACTAGGCAGTGGATGCTGCGTGCCAGCACCTGTGCCTCTGCTGACTCAGATCCCAACCCCTTCAGCCCACCTGGCAAGGGCCCAGGGTGATGAAAGCCCCTCCTTCCGGGGCACACAGGGTCCCCACACATTAGCACATGGGTCCTCATGGTGAGAGGCGAGGGGGTCCCGATGTAGGACTGACCTTGGGGGGGAGGCCCCCCTCGTAGGCTGGCCAGCTGCAGGAGAAGGCGATGGGGCGGCCTGTGGCATTCAGGGCGGCAGACATCTTGGGATACCCTGAGGAGAGCCCAGGGCTTGCTTTAGGGACTGAAGAGGCACTCCAGGGCTTCACCCTAAACCTTCCCCTGTTGATGGTGAGGACACGGAGGCTGTGAGAGGAGAGGTTCCAACACATGGGGGGCCGCGGTGCCACCCCATCTTCTGGAGGCCTGGGAGTCTCGCTCCCTGCAGGTCCCGGGAGAGGGCAGACAGGAGCCAGCCCTGTGCGGGGCCATTGAGGCTGGGGCCAGCAGCAGGCTCTCATGGTCACCCCTCACTGGCCATGGAACTCACCCAGGCTCCGCTCCTCGGACGTGGAATAGCAGCCATCAAGCTTCAGCAAGTCCACCTTCCAGCTGGCAAAGGTCTTTGCGTCCAGTTCCACCTTGTCCAGCGTGGTGCCTGGGTACCCCATGCAGGTGAAGTTGCCCATGTCCTCATAGATGCCCAGCTTCAGGCCCAGGGAGTGAGCCTGGCGGGGGTGGAGGACATGGGAGCTTAGAAGCTTCATCAGGGAGCCTCTCACAGGTACACTGATCCAGCACCACCCCACCCGTCCCTCTGGGAAAGGAGGTTGAAGCTGTGGGCCACTTCTCCCTCCAACGCACACTTCCTCAGTAACAGGAACCTCCCTGGGACCCAGGTCCCTCTCAGGCGCTCGTCTGTGGCCCTCCCACCAGAGTGCTCCAGACACGAGGCCGCGGTGTGGGACCAGGAAAGTGCTCACGTAGTCGGCCAGGAAGGCGATGCCGTGGGGGAAGCGCTTGGAGTCAGGCACAAGCCGGCCCTGGTCATCACGGCCGCCAATCCAGCAGTCGTCGATGTTGAGGTACACGTAGCCCAGGTCCCGCCATCCGTCCTGGGCCAGCCGGTCAGCCATCTCCATGAACAGCCACTCACTGAAGGGGGAGGAGGACGGGGCAGCTCAGAGGCCTGGTCTGCCCTCCTCTTCCCAGTGGACATGCCCTTGCTGAGTCAGGTGACAGTGCGCAGCATGGCCAGGGCCTGGGTGCTCAGCCATGGAGCTGGGCGGGACGAGAGGAAGAGTGTGGGCGCAAAGGACAAGGGGTGGGGTAGCACGTGAGGGCCTGGCTGGCCTCTGATGTTCCCTCCCGATGGGCCCACAGAGGCCTCGGGTAGCCCAGGAGGGCCGGAGTCAGATCTCTGCTGACTGACCACCACGCCCTGCTCCCATGTGGCAGGGCCCTGGTTGAACCTGGGCAGGTGGGTGGGTCCCTTCCTGACCTGATGCAGTTCTTGGGGTCCTCATGACAGTCGATGTTGCAGCGGAAGCGTTCCCAGGCCAGCCAGCCCATGGGTGGCGTCCGCAGGAGCCCGTTCTCCAGCAGCAGCACCTGGCCCACCAGGGCCTGCAAGAGCACTGCGGTGGGGACAGAGGTGTGGGCCTGGGGAGTGACTCGGAGGGCTTCCCACAGCCCTGGCTGCCCGCTGTCTGCACCCCTGGGCCTGGAGGAGCACCAGCTCTGCCTGCAAGGGCTGTCAGGTGCATCTGGCGCCCACCAGCCGTGGCCACAGCAGGGCTGGAGTAGAAAAGCCTACAACTGGTGTCCTGTGCTCCCGCCAACCTGTCGACAGGACTGGACAGCACATGTGGCCAGGCTCCAGGTCCCCCGACAGACCCTCAGGAGGCCTCAGGGCGACTGCAAAGGGCAGCAGGCAGGACCCCCGCCACGCCGCCCCATCTTGCTCATCCCAGCCAGTCCCTTCTTTCTAAAGCCTTGGGGGCAGTTGCTGAGTGGCACTCAAGGGGCTGACCTCAGCACAGGCTGAAGGCACAAAGGAAGAGGGCTGAGGAAGGAAGAGGCTGGTCCGAAGGAGAACCGATCCCGGGTGGGTGGGTCACCTCCCTCCAGAGCCAGCTTGGAGAAGAGACGAAACTGTCCCACAAACCTCAACAGGGAAGCAGGGCCAGGTGTCTGCCGGCGGCAGCTCCCTCCCCAGGCGCCCCTGCCCACGCTGGTACCTGTTTTCAGCAACATTCTTCTGGGGTCCTCACCGCACCTGCTCCGTTTTATCCGCTTTTCTATACTGAACTCCGGAAGCTAAGAAACATTAGGAGAGCATTAGGCGTGGTGCTCGCCCTCGGCCGCCCAGCGACCACAGCCACCCACTTCAGCCCCAGCCCTCATTCCCAGAGCCTGAAGGCGAGCGCCTGCTGCTCGGCGGGGCTCCGAGCCCCTAGGGGCGGCTCTCAGCGGGACCGCGGCCAGAAAGGGACAGCGACCGACCGACCCGAAGACACCCGGCAAGAACGGAGGCGCGGGGCCGGGGCCAGACTCCGCCCGGCCACCCGTCTGGGTGCCCTGGTCCCCGACATCGACGGCCGCTCCGAGGCCCCGGGGAGGCCCGCACCTGCCTAGCGACCAACCGCACCCAGCGCCACCTTCGCTCTGTCCAGCCAGCCGCCGTTCCAGTCGCCTGATTCGCTCGCTGCGTTCGGGTGGGGGCGGGGCCTTCCGGCGACGGGACGACCTATCAGAATCCCCTAGCAACGCCGGGCCCCGCCCCCGACGCGCTCGCCCCGCCCCTCCGCAGCCGGCCCCGCCTCTTCGCAGCTCCGTACCGGCCCCGCCCCTCCGCAGCCGGCCCCGCCCCCCGAAGGTAGGGGTGTGTGTGTGTGTGTGTGTGTGCGTGTGCGTGTGTGTGTGTCCCTCTTTCTCGCTCTCATTGAGCACCTTGGCACAGGAAATGAGAGCATGTCCCCAGGGATGCGCCTTTGTAGCGGGGAGGGAGGCCAGGCAGGATGAATGGGAGACCACCAGCCAGGAGCAGGACCCAGCCCCGCTGACACACACCTGGAGACCGTTCCCACCGCTACTCTGCAGGCCCCTCCCTCAGACAGGTGCTTCTGGAGCAACTACTGGGAGCTCGGCTCTAGGCTGACTATCCTGGGCCCTGCACCTGCTGGCCGAAGCTCTAACAGACACCTGCCGCAGCAGGCTCAGGGACCAGCAGGAGCCCCCTGCCCCCAGCTCAGGCCAGCACCCTGCTCGCTCCTCACCGCCCACGCCAGCCTCTGGGCACTCCCTCTCCCTTCAGAACCTGGACACCTCTCCCTGCTGGCGGTCTCCCCAAGCCTCGCCTGGGACCCTGGCCTGTAGCAGTTTCCCTGTGTGTCCCCAGGCTCTACTGTGGGCTTTTCTCTGCAGAGTAAGTGGTCACAGCCCTCACTCATCCACACAGCCTTGTTCCCCCACCCACCCACTGACCCCACTGTCCCTTCTTTCCGCCCCATGCCTCCTAACCGCTTTGTTTCTGTGCCAGTTCCTCAAACCCAACAGGCCACAGGGCCTTTGCACCACGTTCCAGAATGTTCTTCCTTGCTGGGAGGCACATCAGCTCCCCCCTTTCCTTCAGTGTTGGTGGGATGAGGCCCACGCTGCCACAGGGCCACTGCTGTCAGACCACCTGAATGAGTTAGCGCACAACCCACAGGAAACACGCTGCACCCTGGAACAAACGCCCACCTGAGGCCCAGGGAGGGACAGCTGTACCACCCCATGGTCGCCTGAGTGAGGGGCCCTGGGCAGCCTTGGAACCGCAAAAGCAAAGCGCGGAGAGAAGCCGGGTCAGGCTGCAGAAACAGCGCTCAGATGAGAAGCCACAAGGCCCGGGCCGAGGGGGAGCGACCCTGTGAAACCCCAGCCCTTCGCCGCAGGCCCGTGCCTGCACAGGCTCAGAGCTGGCGAGGTGCCTGGCGTGGCGGGCCTCGAGCTCCGGCACACCCCGCGGCCCTGGGTTCGAGGCTCTGGCGGCTCACTGCCCACCACCCACCCTCGTGCCTCAGTTTCCCTCCCGTGCGGCGCGGAAGGCGGCTTCCAGGACTCCTCGGGCTGGTGAGGACCCGGGCGGGGAGGGGCGGGGGGCGGTAACCCGAGCTGCGCGGGCGGGGTCCCCCGGGTTCCCGCCGCCACGTTCACTCGCGGCCCGGGACGGAGGCGCAGGGGCCCGAGCCCGGAGCCCACCCTGCCGGCTGCCCCCGGGGGCTCGGGCGCGCTCGGCGGCGGGAGGTGAGAGCGGGCCCGGCGCGCTCCGGGGGCGACGTGGCGGGAACAGCTCGGGGCGCCGGCGGGGAAACCGAGGCGGCAGCCGGCGCCCCGGGTCTGGGGCTGGGGAAGGCGCCGGGAGGACCCCCAGCTTAGCGGCGACCCCTGCTTCAAATGCGGCGGGCGGGCTGAGGTCCCCACGCGGCGACCACAGGCTGGACAGCCCCATGCCCCCGCCTGGCTGCTCCGACAAAAGAATCGGGGCAGCGCGGCGCGCGGGCGGGAGGCCGGGGTGCTGTCCCGGCGCGCGGCCCTGGCGTCACGGGAACGGGCGCCCTTCCCCGGCCGGATGCGGGGGCCCCGGTGCGGGCCGGGCCGGACTCGGGACGTGCGGCCGGGACTCCTGGGGGGACTTTGGCCGCTCCCCCTGGCGCGGCCCCTCCCCCGCCCGGCCTGGCTTCTCTCCGCGCTTCGCTCTTGCGGTTCCCGCTTCCTTCCTCATTCCTTCGCTCATCACCCCTTTCCCCACCCCGCTAGAATGTAGGTTCCAGAGGGAAAGGGGAATTGGTCTCTCCCACTGATGCTGTCCTCACTTCCTGCTGGATCTTGAGGGAGATAACGTTCTCTGGCCAGAGATAACGCACCCCGCCCCCACACCTCAGCCAAGCCAGGTCTCCCCTACCCCACCAGAATCTGTAACATCCTGCCGCTGGCCACAGCACTGAACCCAGAAGTGAGGGGCCTGGTGGCCAGGTGAGGTCAGGCTTGCTTGCTGGTCAGGCGTGGTCCTGCCCCTTACAGCTCCCAGATGAACAGAAAGACCACGAATCGGGAAGCTGGGAGGACATTTAACCCGGATCCAGCCTGGGCACAGGGAGCTGAGGTCTGAAGGAGGAAGATCCAGGCAAGGGGACCCGTGCCTGGCCGGGGTGGACGGCTGCTGGCCCTAGCAGGGGCCAGGGAAAGTTCCTGGTGGAGGTGGTGATTTTCCAGGGGCCTCTGAGGTTGGGAAGGAGTTTTCATCCTTTAGAATGGGGTTGAGTGGGAGGACTGGCTGGCCTGATGCCCTCCTGCTGGGGGCTCCCCTGGAGGGGCGGGTTGAGGCCAGGGCGCCCCTGGACGGTGTCAGGGAGTCAGACCCTGCGGCCTCGGGTAGTCCCCTCTATCGTCCTGGGACTTCATTTCCCACGGGTTCCATCAGGTACCACTGTCTTGTCATGCGTGGGGTCCTGGCTGGCGCGGTGTAGCTGTCCTTTCCAGCCACCCCCGGCTGCCCTTTGGGACCCAGAGAAGGCCCCAGTCAGAGCCCTTGCCACGAGGTCGCCTGCCTCCCTCCGCCCCTGTTGGTGTCACAGGGGCTGCAGGTTCTGGCCAGAGAACGGCAGGGATGTGCCCAGTGGACAGCCAGCAGAGGCCAGGAGGGTTGTGGGGTCTTGGCTTTGTGTTGGAGTGACGCCCCCAGCACAGGGGCGGGCTTCTGTGGGCTTGCTGTGTACCATCACCCACTGGACCGCCTGGCCTGCCCGTTTGTCCTTCCTTGGGAGTTCTGAGAAGCACAGGTTTTGGCAGGATCCTCCTGGCTCCTTTGAGAGAAAAGACAAGGTGGGCCCAAGTCGTAGAGGACAGAGCTGGTCAGCAGGGCCCTCAGGGATCGGGCCTAGGTGTGCCTCAGGGTCAGCACCCTTCCCTCAGGGGCCCCTGGGTCCTAGGTGTGCCCCAGGGTCAGCGCCCTTCCGTCAGGGGCCCCTAGGTGTGCCCGATGGTCAGCGCCCTTCTCTCAGGGGCCCCTGGGTCCTAGGTGTGCCCCAGGGTCAGTGCCCTTCCGTCAGGGGCCCCTAGGTGTGCCCCATGGTCAGCGCCCTTCCCTCAGGGGCCCCTAGGTGTGCCCCATGGTCAGCGCCCTTCCCTCAGGGGCCCTGGGTCCTAGGTGTGCCCCAGGGTCAGTGCCCTTCCCTCTAATTCTCTTGCCATCTCTCTTGCTTGAAGCTCTTGCAGGAGTCATGAAGTTGAACGAGAGGAGCGTGGCCCACTATGCCCTCAGCGACTCCCCAGCAGATCACACAGGATTTCTGCGCACCTGGGGGGGACCGGGAGCACCCCCCACCCCCAGCGGCACTGGCCGAACATGCTGGTTTGTTCTCAAGGGCAACCTGCTGTTCTCCTTCGACAGCCGGGAGGGCCGGGCCCCGCTGAGCCTGGTGGTGCTGGAGGGCTGCACGGTGGAGCTGGCCGAGGCCCCCGTGCCGGAGGAGTTCGCCTTTGCCATCCGCTTCGATGCCCCGGGAGTGCGTCCGCACGTGCTGGCGGCTGATGGGCCGGCGGCCCAGGAGGCCTGGGTGAAGGCACTGTCCCGGGCCAGCTTTGGTTACATGCGCCTGGTGGTGCGCGAGCTAGAGAGCCAGCTGCAGGACGCCCGCCAGAGACTGGCCTTGCATCGCTGTTCATCCCACAGAGCCACGGCCAGCTGCAGCAGGCCCCAGGTTCCTGACCGCCGGTCTCCGAGCCTGCACAATGGCCATGTCCTCGCCAGGGACCTGAGCCCCAGGGGCTCCGTCGAGGAAGGGGGCGGCAGGCTGGGAGCTGAGAGAGAGCTGCGAGGCTCAGCTGGCCTCCTCCTGGGCAGAGGGCAGAGCCCTGTGTCCCCCGAGACCTCCTGCTTCGCCACTCTGCACGACTGGTACGGCCAGGAGATCATGGAGTTGAGGCGAGGGTGGCGGCGGCGGCAGGCCCGCAGGAGCCCGCCCGAGCTTGAGCGCCAGGACCGGTCCTGAACACCGGGGAGGGGGCCACGTCCAGTTAGGCCCCAGTTCTGCTGGTCAGGATGCTGGGGGCCAGTGCCTTTTCTGGAGTTGAAGGTTTACTCATTTCCGACGTTGTTCTGGGGGGTGTTGCACTTTCTTCTTGCATTTTAGGTGTTCTCCACATGGGCCTTCTGCCACCACATCACACTTTGCAGGCACGGAGAAACGGGAGAGGCCTCGAAGGAGGCAGCATTGCCCTGATGTCGTGATATGGTCAAAAGGATGGACCTCCTGTCTTGTGGGGGCCTCTCGGGTGCAGCTCTCCCTAGGGAGTGGTGGGAGGATTGGCCACGTGACTCCCCAAACTGCAGTGTGTGTTAGAAGTTTCTGGAGGCAGGGAGCCTACAGCCAGACGAGAGGCATTTGCTCTGTCCGTCAGTGGCCTGTGGCTGCCTGGTAGGGGGTGGTGCAGGCTGGCATCCCGGGATGGACTGGCTTCTTGCCCCTGTGAGCAGAACCCTCGGTGCCCGGGCCCTCAGCAGCAGACCCCCGGCTGGGGGTTGGGGTTGGGGGAAGGGAAGAAGACTTGGAGTGTGGTGTCCCCCCACCCCCAGGGTGGTGCCGCTAGTGCCTGACAAATTCCTCAGTCTGGCTGGGCTCCCCTAAAGGTTCCTGAGACCACCTGGGAGCTCCCCCTGTCATGTGATCACCCAGGGTAGACTGGCCGAAACCCTAAGAATCTTAGTCTGTTGTTCTTGGGGGAGGGGCGGGGGTAGAGTGGCTGGCTCACAGGGCCAGGGGCCAGGCCAGCTGATGCCCTAGGAGAGTGGTCAGGGGTGCCCCTTCTGCGGGCGGTGACCTGGCTGGGAGCCCCAGAGCTCACTAGGTTTACTTTCTGCAGGCTTTTCTGGCCTTTGCCCTTGTTACAGGGGTCTGTGTGAGAGTAACACTATTCAGTATCATGAATCTGACTCGGTTTGGTTGTTGCCATCACTGCTTCTACATATGCAGACACGAGGGCCAGCCGGCTAGCCGCCGACCCTGGTCCCAAATCAGGCTTCACGTTGGTACAACTTCCACAGTGCTTGCTCCCTGGGCACACGGAGCCCGCAGCCTCCTGCACCTGTCTTAGGCACAGATACCACAGCCCTTTGTTCTGTAACGATTGTTATGGTGGCTTTTTTTATATACGCTTTTTTGTATACGATCAAAATATCTAAGTAAAGTTCTTTCCATTATGATGCAATTCGATTCCTTGCGCTTATCTCAGCAGTCGCAGAACGCCCACCACGCCTGGCCAGGAGTGTCGCGGGTGTGAGAACAATAATGACAGGAGGATGCACAGTCACGCCGCGGGCCCCGCCCCCCGGAGCGCTGCTCCGCCCCCGGAGCGCTGGCCCCGCCCACCAGGGAGCGTCGGTGTCCTCGTGATGTCACCACGCTGAGTGGTGACGCACGCCCCTTCCCTAGGGCGGCAGGACCGTAGCTACTGCGCAGGCGTGGGGGCGTGGCTTCCCGTGCTCTCCGCCCAGCGTCGCGAGGCCAGCTCCGGGCCGGGCGGTGGGGTCTGGGCGCCCAGGCGAGGGGCGGAGCTGGGAGATGGCGTCCGGAGCGGCTCGCTGGCTGGCCCTGGCACCCCTCCGATCCGGGGCTCTCCGCAGCGCACCGAGTGTTAGGCAAGGTGGCGATGGCGCTGCCGTCCGGGGCGGCTCCGGGCCGAGCCTGGTACCTTCGAGGTCAGTCATCGTCACCCGCAGCGGCGCCATTTTGCCCAAACCCGTCAAAGTGAGTGTCTGCCTGAAGGCGGGGCGAAGGGGCCATGGCGAATCATTGTGGGGCGTGCCTGGGTCGGCGTTGACGGACAGGGGCGACGGCCAACCATGCGGTCGCCTTGGGCTGGTAGGCGGAGCAAGGACTCTGCTAGAATGGGTTGCTCCTTTTGACAGGTGGGAGAAGGAGGGAGGGCTTGGGCAGGGCGCGGGGCCGAAAGCCGAGACAGGTGGCTTCTGGCGAAGGGTGTGGATCCTGTTCCGTGCAGCCGGTCTAGGCGTTCTAGGCTTTGTGCACTGATTTCAGACAAGTCGGCGTATTTCTTCCTCTTCGATGAGCTGAGAGGGAATCCTGGGAGGACTTTGGAAAGCAGGGTGCGTCAGACAGGCCTCGCCTTCCAGTGAGTCATGACGGGTGTGTAAGGAATTGCTGTCGCAGTTTTTCACAATTGAATCAGAGGCCAGAACAATGTAGTCAGTACCGAGGCTTGCTGCCCAGTGAGGTCCTGGCTTGCTGGCACAGCCCCCACCTGCAGCGGTTTCCCCCAGTCATGTATGCCAAGCATTAGTTTACATCTTGCCTGTCCAGTGTAGAAAGCATTTAAGAATCTTTATTTATAGCGGAGAGCGGCCAGAGAAAGATTGCTTGTTCTTGTATTTGCTCGTCCACTCCCCAAAATGACCTCAACAGCCCTGGCTGGTCCTGGCCTAGACTGGGAGTCCAGAATTCCATCTGGATCCCTTGCGTGCATGGCAGGGACTCAGCCATCTCCTGCTGCTTTCCCAGGCCACAAGCAGGGAGCTGGATGGGAAGTGGGGCCGCGGGGACATGAGCTGGCATCCATATGGGATCCTGGTATTTGCAGGGGGAGGATTGGCCAGTTGAGCCCCTCACCCCAAAGGCAAACTTGTAAAGCGAGCCTGGTGCTGTGCTCACGCACAGTTGACTGCAGGGCGGCTTCACAGTGGAAAGCTGCGAGGTGAGGGGACCACGCCGAAGAGGAATGGCCTTTACAAGGTGCAGCTGAAGAGGAATGCTGGGTAGTTCAGGAACTACAAGGGACACTCTTCAGCTCAACTAACTAGTGAGATAACCTTGCTTTTCTGAAAATATGCTGGAATCAATTTAAAAAGTTTTTGTTGTTTATTTGGAAGGCAGTTAAGGAGAGGGAGACATTCTGTCTGCTAGTTACTGTCCAGCTGGCCCACGATGGTTGCAGCTGGGCCAGACAGAAGCCAGGAACCAGCAGCTCTACCACGTCTCCCCATGTGGGTGTAGGGACCGAAGCCCTTGGGCCATCTTCTGCTGTTTTCCAGTGCAGTTAACAGGTGGCTGGATTGGAAGCAGCCAGGACTTGAACTGGCACCCACGTGGAATGCTGGCATTAAGGTGGCAGCTTAAGTGGCTGTGCCACACGCCTCCTGAAATCAGAGTTCTTGGGCACCAGATGCCTGTTACTTAATCAGTTGTTCAGGATATATTTTTAAAAATATTTATTTTCATTGGAAAGCCAGATTTTACAGAGGAGAAAGGGAAAGACTGTGCATCAATTCACTTCCCAATGGCTTCAGCGGCCAGAGCTGAGCCGATCTGAAGCCAGGAGCCAGGAGCTTTTTCCTGGTCTCCCATGTGAGTGCAGGGTCCCAAGGTTTTGAGTCATTCTCCACTGCTTTCCCAGGCTACAAGCAGGGAGCTGGATGGGAAATGGAGCAGTCAGGATTCGAACCGACACCCATATGGGATCCTGGTGTGTGTAAGGAAAGGACTTTATCCATTAGGCTACTGCACTGGGTCCCAGAATATTCCCTTCATTTTTTAAAAAAAATTTATTGGAAAGTCAGATATACAGAGAGGAGGAGAGACAGAGAGGAAGATCTTCCGTTCAATGATTCACTCCCCAAGTGAGCGCAACGGCCGATGCTATGCCGATCCGAAGCCAGGATCCAGGAACTTCTTCCAGGTCTCCCACACGGGTGCAGGGTCCCAAGGCTTTGGGCCATCCTCGACTGCTTTCCCAGGCCACAAGCAGGGAGCTGGATGGGAAGTGGAGCTGCTGGGATTAGAACTGGCGCCCATACCGGGGCATTCAAGGTGAGGACTTTAGCCGCTAGGCCATGGCGCCGGGCCTCATTCCCTTCATTTTTTTGCTCTCCATTTTCATGTACCTTTTGTATTGTATTTATTTATTTTGATGTTTACATAGTTGAGAAGGACAGACACCCATGTGGACCACTGATGAAGGTGGGAAGGATCGAGGAATGGGGGAAAGTGGGCAAGTCAATTGCTTCCAATTTTTTTTTTCTTCCCGTATCTGGAGGAAGGAGGGAGAGAAGGGGGAGGGCCGCTCCCAGCAGCCCACGACATCAGTGCCCGGGATGTGAAGTGGCCACTTGATGTCATCCCAGAGTCCCCGCTGTGGAACACATTTTCATGTATTTTTGTGGTATCTCCTTCAAGAGAGGACAGAAAGATCTTCCACCTGCTGATTTACACCCCAGATGGTCGCAGTGATTAGAGCTGAGCCAATCCTAAGCCAGGAGCCAGAACGTCTTCCAGGTCTGCCATGTGGATGCAGGGTCCCAAGGGTTAGGGCCGTCATCCATTGCTTTCCCAGGCCATAACCAGGGAGCTTGGTGGGAAATGGAGCAGCTGAGACATGGACCGGTGCCCCTATGGGATGCCGGCAGCTATAGGTGAAATAGCCATCGTGCCAGCCCCAGCTTTATACGTTTCTTCCTGGCATCATTTTGTTTTTTTTAAAGATTTATTATTATTATTATTATTATTTTTATTGGAAAGGCGGATATACAGAGAGGAGAGACAGAGAGGAAGATCTTCCGTCCGATGATTCACTCCCCAAGTGAGCACAACAGCCGATACTATGCCGATCCGAAGCCAGGAGCCTCTTCTGGGTCTCCCATGCGTGTGCAGGGTCCCAAGGCTTTGGGCCGTCCTCGACTGCTTTCCCAGGCCACAGGCAGGGAGCTGGAAGGGAAGCAGGGCTGCCGGGATAGAACCGGCACCCATATGGGATCCTGGGGCGTGCAAGGCGAGGACTTAACCACTTGCGCCACCGCGCCGGGCCCCCTGGCATCATTTTGGATGACCACAGCACTCGCCTTACCTCCTCTTGCAGTTATTATCTGTTTTGCTGTTGTTGTTGCTCTGTACTTTCCGGAGCCTTTGAAGCCAAGTGCCGTGTGGTGGGCTGGGTCTGCAGGAGGCGGCCTGGGCCCTGGCACTCACGCCCCCCCCCCCCGCCCTCTGCAGATGTCCTTCGGCCTCCTCCGCGTGTTCTCCATCGTGATCCCCTTTCTCTACGTCGGCACGCTCATCAGCAAGAACTTCGCCGCTCTGCTTGAGGAGCACGACATTTTTGTCCCAGAGGATGATGATGATGATGACTAGCAGGTGAGACTTCCTGGGCCAGGAGCAGCACGTGGGAGGCGCGGGCGGGGCGAGGCCTGGCATGGCAGGGCAGAGCATTGATGAACTGACAGCTTTGGGGCTCCCATTTCTGCCTTTCCCTACAAATTCACTGGGCTCTCGTCCGATGAGGCGGGCACCCCAGCCAGCCTTTGCTGCTGGCTTGACATACCTTCAATCAACCACACTTTCTCAAAGATTTACTGGATTATTTACAAGTTAGGTCCTGCTTCTGCTGGGTCACCTCCCAAATGGCTGCAGTGTATAACTTGGCCAGGACTTGAGCCACTCTTCATACAGGGTGCCAGCATAACTCCACTTCTCCCCATTCTCTTCTTTTTTCTATTATTTTAAGATTAAAAAAAACTTTTTATTGGAAAGTCAGATTTACAGGGAGCAGAGACCTGTGCTGGTTCACGCCCCAAGATGAGCAGGACCAAAGCCAGGAGCCAGAGACTCAATCTAGGTCTCCCACGAGGAACCCAACTAGTTGAGCCGTCACCTGCCTCCTCCACCTGCCTCCCCCGGGGCGGGGTGGGGGGACTCCACCTGCCTCCCCCTGGGGTTGGGAGGACTCCACCTGCCTCCCCCCTGGGGTTGGGAGGACTCCACCTGCCTCCCCTGGGGTGGGGGGACTCCACCTGCCTCCCTCTGGGGTGGAGGGGACTCCACCTGCCTCCCCCTGGGGCCTCAGAAGGAAGCTGGCACTGGAGCTCAGGCAGATGTGGAATGTGGCTGTCCCACCCTGTCTTGACTGCTAGGCCAGCTGCCTCCTGCTGCTTCAGCTTAATGCCACCCATTCTTCCACTTCCTTCACCCATTTAAAGCGAGTTCTGCTTCCTCACAGAAGCAGTCTCAAGTACTTCTTCTGTAACACTTGATATTACGTGCTTAAACGCCCCCAGGTCGCACAGACGATGAGCTCATGGGCGGCAGAGAATGTGTTTTTTACACTTTGGGGTCCCCAGCGTCCGGCCTCCGGTGAATGCCTAGTGATGCGCTCCGCTGTCGTTAGGTGCTGGGGGCCTGTCTCTTGCCTCACTGTTGCTTCCCTTTCTCACAGGGCACAGGAAAATGCTGAAGGGAGAACGCACCAGCTGAAGAACTGGTGCCGCTCGCAGCCTGTGCCTCCGCCACAGAAGGGCCAGGGAGCCCCTCAGCCCCCAGTGCAGCGGAGCCTCCTCCACAGCCCCGATCCCCGAGATGTGCTGTCCCGTGAGCACTGGAAAAGCAATCCTATCATGAATAAACATAATAAACACAGCTTAGTATGACTGTGCGATGGCCCAAGTTTCAACATGAAGACTGCAGCTGCCTGTCTCTTTAAGATTTATTTACTTTAAAGGATTACAGAGAAAGGGAGAGATACCATCATTGGGTCACTCCCCAGAAGCCCTGATGGCCAGGGCAGGGCCTGGAACCAGGAGCTTCTTCTGGATCTTCTGTTGATTTTCCAGGCTGTTCGCAGGGAGCTGGACCAGAAGTGGAACAGCTGGGAAATAAATAAGCATCTCCTCACATATGGGATGTCAGCACTGCAGGCAGTGGCTTTACCCACTGAGCCACAGCACCAAGCTCTTTGATCTACAACCCAGAATACTGAGGTCCCTGTGGATGTGCAGAGATAATTGGGGGGGCCCGAGCCCTGTTTCCATGTTTTCTTTTTTTTTTAGAATTTTAAATAAAATATTTATTTATTTTATTGGAAAGGCAGATATACAGAGAGGAGGAGAGACAGAGAGGATCTTCCATCTGATGAGTCACTTGCCAAGTGGCTGCAATAGCCGAGCTGAGCCAGTCTGAAGCAAGGAGCCAGGGGCTTTTTTCAGACCTCCCACAATGGTGCAGGCCCAAGCACTTGGGCCATTCTCTGCTGCTTTCCTAGATGCATTAGCAGGGAACTGGATGGGCAGTGGAGCAGCCAGGACTCAAAACTGGCATCCGTATGGGATGCTGGCACTGTATGCAGTGGCTTAGCCCTTTAAGCAATAGCATTAGCCCCCAGAGATCATTTCTCAGAGCTAAACCAGAGACTACCTTTGGGACCCTGCACCTGCATGGGAGATCTGAAGGAGGCTCCTGGCTCCTGGCTTCAATAGGCTCAGCTCCAGCTGTTGTAGCCACCTGGGGAGTGACCAGCAAACGGAAGATCTTTGTCTCTCCTTCTCTCTATAAATTTGACTTTCCAATAAAAATAAAATCTCAAACAAAACAAACCAGTAGGTCTGTGTCGGCTGTGGGCAAGCTGAGTGGCTGTGTGCCTAGCATGCCTACCTGACGAGTAGGAAGTTAATTCCACTCCCAAGAACTGGAGCTTGCTGCAAGTAGAGGGCAGAGGGCTCTGAAAGTCCTTTCTCCTGAGAACCCAGGACAAAGTCCATTTGTCAGCTCTGTCTCTGCTCATGAGCTCTGCCTGGTCCCTTGACAAGAGTTGGATCAGCGTGGCGCCTTGACACCAAGGTGTCCCACTGTGAGGACTCCACAACCAGAACAGAACTAGAGGTCAACTGGCCTCATATCCACCGTGACAGTTTCTGAACAGATGAGGCTCTGAGAAGAATTCCATGTACTTTATAGCAAATACTGCACTTCAAGAAAAGGCAATGAACAGGTGTTTATGTATATCAAAACCCAGCTTATCTGAGTAAAAAGCAAGAAAAATCAGCTCATCAATGCAATTCTACCACACAGTGACTGCTGTATACTGAATTTATTTAAAATAATTAAATAACACCGTGCACCTTTCCACCGAGTGACTTCAGGGGTCATGACCAACATAGAACTTGGACAGGAAATCCTTCGGCTTCGGTGTTTCTGTTTCATGGAAGAACCGCATGATATGTGTCCGTTGCTTCCACACGTTAATGGTCTCCTCCAGTTCCATCTTTCCCTGCACAAATGAAGGCAGAGGTCATAAAGGGGCTGCGCTGAAGGAATGCAAGGAAGCCAGGATTCTCTTCCAAGGTGAAGGACCCTCACAATTTCTTTCTAGGTAACAGCCTCTGCCCCTGGAGGACGAGGGCTGGGTGACCTGAGGCCTTTCCAACACTCTGCAACTCTGTTAACTTGTCCCGAGGACACACATCCAGGTCGGTAGGGCCTCAAAACTGGAGACCGAGGGCTTCTGTTCCCGCTTAATACTTCTTCCACGCCATTTACTGGTCCATGCTGACGCTCCTGCTGAGCTAATGCCACGAAGACAGAATCAGCTCCACGATCTGATCCCACATCCACAGGCCCCAGCCAACCTGCCTGCCTCTTCCAGCTGCAAGCTGACACACAGGCAGAGCAGTAGGGATGAGGTTCCAGTACAGATCAAATGTTCCTCCTTATAGTTTTTTTGGTTATAATACATAAATCCAGTGGATTTTCTCTTCAACAATGTTTAATCTATTTAACCAGGCAGTAATCTCCAAACTCAACTACTCTTTTGAAACTAAAAGTTTCAAGTGTTCATCTGGGAGGACTGAGAGTGAGACAAATAGGGAAGCGCTGCCTCCACTTGTTCCCGTTGCAGATGCTTCCAGCCGCGGGGGCCAGGCGGGGGAGCCCAGTGGCTGCCTCCGAGTCCTGATCACCAGGACACTGGCATGGACCCCAGGCACTCCGCCATGGGGAGGCGGTGTCCCAGATGTGCCAGAGGCCCTGGGGGATCAGGGGTCAGTGAGGGTTATTTACCTTAATGACCAGAAGATCGACCACCCTGGGGTCCGTAACATGTGCATTCTTCATAAACATTTCTCGGACTTTATCCCGTCCCTGCTGCACGGTGATGTCTAGCTGGAATAAGTGCACTGGAGGGAAAATGTGATTCAGGCTAGAAATTACTTGGTTAAAACATTCTTAAACGCTTGAGTCGGTGAATCCTGACTGAACACACAGGCAGCCCCCCAGAGTTAGGTGCCCGAGACCCCGGGGATGCGTGGACCTGGCACTTCCTCTCCGAGCTTTCACACCGTCTGGGGAGATAAGACCACTGCTTTGGAACAGGCAGAAGTCTGAGCAACTTGGGTTCAAATCCTAGCCTTGTCACTTTCTCATCTGATCCCGTTTATTTTAGCAGTAAAATGAAGACAATGATACCTATTACTCTAGTAAAAATACCTGTAGTATTAATACGATAGTAATAATACTCTAGCAATAATACCTGCTACTCTGTGGTACCTGGCTTAGTCACTCAAGAAGTGAAGCACAATACAAATGCAGGCTGTGAGCCTTGCCGGCGCCTCCCCGCACGGCTCAGCACACGTGGGCTTCATTGCACTATGCCGCTTTCCCTGGGCCGTCCCGAAAACCGCTGAAGACTCGGGGATTCTGTTGTATTTACTTTCGTGTCTCTCCAAGCCTCTAGTACTGACCCTGTGCTACAAGAGGCACCAGGGAAACAGGAATTAAGTGCAAGAACTGTGTGTATAAAGTCTCCTGTTAAGTCAAGGACAGTTCTGGCCTGGTCTCCCACGCCCAGCGAGGGAGATGCCCGCCAAGCTCCAGGTACGGGAATTGCACAGGCAGGTTCTGGGTCTACCTCTCCTACTAAGAGGTGACTTGAGGCTTTAAGGTACTTAGCTTAGCACTGGGTCACAGGCAGGCATTTCGATGAACACTAGTTACTACCAGTACTACCACCTGCTTGCAGGACTGGCTTTGACTCCTCAGCGGGAGTGGCGGTGGCAGCACCGCACCAGTGTCCCGCAGGCCGCTCCCCACGCCGCTCTGCAGGCACGTGGAACCGCCCAGAGCCCTGTGGCTCTGCGGGTACCGACCGGGACGGCACCAGAAGGAAGTGCTGGGAAGGCACAGTCCAGAAAGTGCTGGGTTCTGAGGCGGGAGACCTGGGTTCTAGCTTCACCTCGGCCACTGAATTTCACCAGAACGCAGGACGGTCTCCTGTGCCCCCCACAAGAAAGACTGAGACGCTCCTCCAAGTATGCCAAGTGTTGTTAGGCACCCACCGGATCCTGAAGGCATCTCCCTACTGACCCTCCCCCGACAGGACAGATCACTTAAAACTTAAATCTCTCCGGCAAGTGACGGCCCTGTGGGGTGTCACGGGGCCTCCCCACGCACTCATCGTGAGCGCCTCGGTTCTCAGACCCACGTTAAAACACGCGAGCCCACAGCAACGCAGTGCTGCCCGGGGCAGTGTCCCTGGGACAGCCCTGACCTTCCCAGGGATGGGGGGAGTGCCCAGGCGACAGTCTCTCCATTCTGGGGGTTCACCTGACGATCCTGCAGCAATGGGCTGAGGAATTCCTAAGGGCAGGGAGACCCCAGGGAGCAGGGCTTGGGGCGACCTTGGGAAAGCCATTCCCTTTCCCGGTCTGGCTCTTCTGTGGAGGGATGACTTGCCACATCCGACGGTCCCTGTGCGCGTCCGTCAGTAGATTCTGGAACGCGGGAGCCGACTTTGGGTCCCGGACTACCAGAGCCACCCGCCACCGAGTCCCGGCCGCTTTCCTCCCCCGGGGCTTCGGGAAAAATCCCGAGGGACGAGACCAAAGGACGCCTGGAAGTGCGGCAGGGATCCCGGACACAGCCAGTGTTTCCCGCGCCGCCGCCAGGCCGGGTTCACCACACGCCCGGCTGAGCTGCTTCCCCCTGCAGCAGCACCCGGGGTCGCCTCAGTCCAGCCCGGCCGGTGGCCGGAGGCAAATGCGGCCGCGACCTTGGGCGTCTCTCCCCCGCAGCCCCGCGGGCGCCGCTGCCGCTCACCTGCGTTCGGTACCTCCCGATACCAGGCGCGATAGAGCTCACGCACTCTCCGCTTGGCTTCGTTCAGGTCGCGACTGAAAATGGGCTTCACAAACGTACTGCCCGCAGCCGCGGTCCGCTGAAGGCCGCTCGCCGCCATCTTGCCCCTCACCGCCTCTTCGGTGCGTGCGGCGACGTGCTGGATGCGAATATCTCCTCTCATTGGCTGAAGATGGAAGCCACGCCCCAAGTGGGAGGGAAGACGGCTCTTATTGGCTTTTCGATTGGCTGGGAAGCCACTTGAGGCGGGCTAAATGGGAAAGGTGAAGGTTGCTCGTCGTGGACACGTCTCGCGACGGCCTGGTTTCCGAGAGGAGGCCGCCGCTGGGTGGCGAGCTGGCGCCATGGTCACCGAGCTGGCGTGGGACTCCCGTCCGCGTCCTGCCTTCTGCTTGCTGCCGCGCTCCGCTCGTGGGCGCCGGGCTCTGAAAAGGCCCTTCAGTCGAGTCAAGATGCGGCCACAGGTGTTGGCTGAGGTAGATAATGGCTCCGGGGCTGCCGGACGCTGGCTCTCTCCCTCAGAGGATTTTTGTTTTGTTTTGTTTAAGCAGCAGAACTTTATTATTTTGATAAACCCGCTCTCCTGAAATACGGTCTAGACAACAACGCATTCTCCTAGCGTTTGGCTTTGGGCGCTTCTCCGCGGCGTAGGGAGGCGAGTCGCAGCCTCGGCTGCATTTTAGACACGGACACTGGCGGCGCCAACCCTGGGTCTCTGGGGAGGAATAGTCTGGAATTTTGGAACTGGAAGGAACCTCAGGTGGTCGGTCCATCCCAAGTGGATCTCTCTTTGTTGGGCTTTTCACAGCGGCGTGACAGCTGCATACCCAAGAGAGTCCAAGGGTGGAAGGAACAGCTGAGCGTGCCTGCAGTCTCTCCTGCGGGTATTAGTACACGCAAGGTACAGGTGGGGAGACTAGGGGTGCAGTCCAGGTCAGAGCCGCATTAGGTACCCCCTCCCTGACTCCTGCCTAGCGGGGCTGGGCTCCTCCTGAAAGTGCGGCTGATGAGCCCCTTGCCAGTGCTGGGGAGGAAGGGTCTAGGCCCATGGCTGGCCTTCGCTCTGGGACCCTGTGGGGAGGTGTGTGGCCCAGCATCCAGTCACTTCCGTTTTAATGGATGAGATGTCCTTCTCCGACCCTTTGTCTTTTGAAGTGCATTTGTGGTTTACGCGGCTCTGCTGGATCCTGTGTTTTGTCCCTGTGAGCCAGAATGGAGTTGAAAAACACCTGTAGCTCAGCATGTCCTAGCTGTGATGGTGGCTTAACACTCTTGAGTGTGTCGGATCAAACCCATCATACCATCAGTCATGTGTGGCTCAGAGCCGACATTGTGGTGCAGCCTGCCAAGTCGCCATCTGCGACACTAGTACCCCACGTGGACCCCAGTTCACGTCCCAGCTGCTGCACTTCTGGTCCTGCCATGAGAAAGCAGTAGAAGCTGGCACAGGTGCGTGGTCCCCTCGCCCAGGTGGGAGACCCGGAGGAAGCTCCTGGCTGCTAGCTGCCCAAGCATGTTCTTTTAAACTTTTCTTTACTGTGGAAGAATTTTATTTCATTTTCAAAGATGAAGGAAAGCTTTGCTGGGTACGTTATCCTGGGCTGGAGAGTGTCCTGTGAGTGGTTTCCTGTGAGTTTAATTGGCATTCCTTTATATGTCAATTGGTTTTTCTGTTTTTTCATGTGTGCATTTAAGGATCTTTTCCTTATGTTCAAGTTCAAGTTCTCCTACCACAGCTGTTCCCAGCCCTTGATTTCACGTATGCCAGTGGGTACTGTAGCCCTGCTTGGCATGGTCTGTCCTCAGTTTCAGGCTGCATGTGTCTGTGGGCACTGCCGCCTGGCCCAGCCTGGTTTCTTCCCAGCTCCCGCTCCCATGAGTGTCAGGTGAGTTCCGTGGTCTATCCTAGCTCAGCCTATCACCACCCCTGGCTGTCACACACACTAGTGGGTGCTGTAGTCCCACGGAGGTGAGCCCACAAGTCTCCTATAGATTCTGTCTCCTGTGGTCCAACCTGATGTGGCCCACTTCTTGCCTTGCCACTCACGGGCAGGTACTATGGCTTAACCCAACCAGGCATGTTCCCCCTGTCCCTGCAGTCCCAGCTTTCATGTGCTCCCGTGGGCAGTAAGCAATGCTGCCTAGCATAGCCCAGGTCTTTCATATATAATTAACACAAATTTGGCATTAACCAGGCCCAGAATGCCCACCAGCTATTGGCTGCTTTTCTCCCAGCAGTGTAACACTTGCCTAGGTACAAGACAGCCTAGTCAGTTGCCTATAGCCAGGAATGAATTTGTTTTTGAGTACTGAATCAACCTTGTATTCCTAGGGGCAAATTTCATTGGTAATGATCTATTATCATTTTCATATGTTGCTGTTTTCAATGTTACAAGATTTTTAAAATTTGTTTGAAGGGTAGATAGAATCTTTTATCTACTGGTTCATTCCTCCATATACCTTCAACAGCAGGGGCTGGGCAGGGCTGAAGTCGAGAACCTGGAACTACATCCTGGTCTCCCATGTGGCAGAGGCCAGGTATTTGGGAATTCTGGTGCCTTCCCATGTGCAGTAGCAGGGAATTAGACAGGAAATGGAAAAGCCAGGACTCAAATCAGCACTCTGATATAGAACGCTGTGGTTACAAGTGGTGGCTTGACTTGCTGGGCCAAAATACTTGCTCTGTGGTAAGATTTTGCTAATAATATGTTAATGATATACTTATGCATAATAATATATTTTTGAAAGATGCTGACCTATAGTTTTATTTCGCTGCTTTTGTCTGTGCTTCAGAGTATGTTCTCATAAAATGAGTTGGGAAGTTTTATATTTAATTGGTATTGTTTATTCCTTAAAATTTTGGTAAAATTTACTAGTGAAGCTATGTGGATCTGAAGTTTTCTTTGTGGGAGAGTTAAACAAACCCAGCGTCTTTGGGAGACACAGAATTAATGATTAAGATGACCTATTTCTTCTATGTGAGCTTTGGTCTTTTAAGTATTGTGTCGATTTCGTCTTTGCGGTTAGACGTGCGGTGGAATGTTCATAGTATCTGCTGCCTGACACTGAGTACCCATGGGATCTACAACAATGCTCTTATCATTCTTGATGTTGATAATTTGTCTTAATTATTTATTTCCTGGACCATCCTATGTTTGTGTCTACCTCTCCTATCTAGATGATTACACATATTGTTGATCTCATAAAACCCGCTCTCGGTTTATTGATTTTTCTCTATTTTTTCAATTTCTTTTTTGTGCTTACTTTTGGTTTTCTTTGTTCTTTTATTTCCAGTTTCCCAAGATAGCAACCACAGTTACTCATCTGAGGTCTTTCTTGTTTTCTAATGTAGATGGCTGTAAGAATTCTCTCTAAGCACTGCCCAGCTTCATCCCACGAATTTTGATATTTTTGTCGTTTTCATTTGGTTTAAAATATGTTCTACCTTTTTCTTTTGAATCATTGGATGGAAGATCTTCCTCTCTGTCTCTCCTCCTCTCTGTATATCTGACTTTGTAATATAAATAAAATCTTAAAAAAAAATCTGTGGTATTCTCTGTAACTCTACCATTCAGATAATACTTTTCTTCTAAAGTGATTTATTTATTTGAAAGAGTTATAGAGACAGAAATCTTCCATCTGGTGTTTTATTCTTTAAATGGTATCAATAGCCAGGGCTTCTCTAGGCTGAAGTTGGGACCCAGGAGCTTTATCTGGGTTTCCCATGTGGGTGCGGGAGCCCAAGCCCTCGGGCTGTCTTCTGCTGCTTTCCCAGGTGCATTGGCAGGGAGCAGGACTGGAAGTGGAGCAGGTGAAACTTAAACCCCTGCTCATATGGGATGCTGGCATAGCCCACTGTACCACAACATCTTCCCCAGAGTTACTGTCTTTGCATTATGTCTTTTTGGTGTCCTTGAGCTCCTCAGAGGTGGGTTTTATGTGTTCTGTGTGCCTGTCTATCCCCTGAGCATTGTATCTGTTCTAAAATGGAAGCTCTGAAGTCACCATGTCAGCTCAGAAAACATGCTAACCGGGTTCCAGCACGTGAGTGAGTCCTTCTTGTCTCTGTGTCTTTGTGTCTCTTCAGGAGTTCACAGAGCAGGCACATGGCAGCTGCTCAGTCATCAATGGGGGCTTTGAATTAAACCAACAAGATGCCTGTACCATCCTGCTCTGGCTAGGAGAGATGAAGCAACTGACAGGCGCTCTGCTTGGGGGGCTGTCCTGTCATAAAGGCCACTAGGACATGATGTCACACACAGACAGCCGGGAGCCTGTGTGCTGGCCTCTCAGACTCAGCTGCACTCCCGTGCTCTCCCCAGGCCTGTTCCTGGTGCCCGGACACTGACAGGCCAAAGGAGTGTCTGCAAACCAGCAGCATCCTAGGAGTCGGCATCTCTGGTGAGTGACCCCAAAAGCTGCCCTCAGCAAGCACCCAGGAGGTGGTTTCCTGCCTTGCCTGTTCTGAGTCTCTTCCTAGTTAGCTTGCCCCTCCGCTCTGTTGTCCTCTCCCTTAGGCTCCATCTCTGTCGTTCCTCTAATTCTCTCTGAGAAAAGCCTGCCAACCTCAATCATACCACGTGAGAAATGACAAAGCCTGCTGTAGAATACACTGTTGGCAGTGTTCTCAGGGGACTGGCTTTACATGCCTGGCCAGGGCTTTACACGGCAGTGATGAGCCAGAGTTCCACAAACGTTCACTAATGTCACTAAGCTGTGTGTCCTAGGCATGTGGCCAGTTATTGGGCATTTGATCCTGGACAGGCCTAAAGTGGGCTCTGAGAGAGCCCTGTGGTCAGGAAACCATCCCAAACCCTAGCAGCACCCTACCCAGAATCAGTGATCGGGAAAGTCTTCTGGCAGGTGATGGAGAGGGACGCTCCAGGCAGGGAACAGCGTGTTCAAAGGTTGCA